GAAGCAGACAGCTGTGGAGATTATACCGGTACCGGACAACTTGGGGAAAAAATAAGGAGTGTGGAAAGAAGCCGACCTTTCCACGGAGTCAACGTCCTCTCCCGACACCAGCCCACAACGACTACCCGTTCCCCAGGGAAGACGTCGGTGGAGCTGAAGCAGCTCAAGAGGAAGCTGGGGGTCTACAAAAAGCTGCACAAACCCCGAACTCCTCCTCTGGATGCATCCAGTTTTTCGGCATCAATGACGCGCACAGTCGTCAAGGAAACTCCGGGCCCTGGAGAAGAGCCGTTCTCCAAGCAGCCTCGGCCAGCTGCCAGCTCAGGAGTAGATAGCAACACAAAGGTGGGTACGGAATATTGGGATGTACCCTATGACCCAATCAATGAAACTATCTTTGGGTACTCCGAGCAACGACTGCCCCTCGTGCTCGAGGTCATCTGCAAAGGACGACGCCTCCAAGCACTCGTGGACAGCAGAGCATCACACACCGTCTGCGACAAGGCAGTAATCGACCGACTTCGGGAAGAGTACAAGCCTTCAGGATTCTCTGCAAAACGATGGTGGACGGCAGCAAGTTACCAGTACACGGCGAAGCAGTGCTACACCTACAAATTGGACCACTGCGCTGGAGACCTGCACTTCCCATCACCAACATCAAAGGGCTTGACCTGATCTTCGGGTGAGACTTCCTAAAAAGATTCAACCCCGAGATCAACTGGGTGAACCGCACCGCAAGCATCTACAACAATGGACGGAGAGTACAGCTACCCAACTGGGACGATACAGGAGATATCCCAGTGGAGACACTCGCACGATTCGAGAAGGACGTGAAGCGAACCGACACAGGGTTCCTGGCAATAGCAACAGAGGCGGAGAACGACAGGGAGAGAACCTCGGAACCTCCAGGAAAGATTTAGGAATTATTGAAGGAGTTCCAAGATATTCTTCCTGACGATCTTCCGAATGAGCTACCGCCATACCGAACGCATCAACACGAGATCGTGGAGGAACCGGGTTCAAAGCCGACCTTCCGAGCACCATATCGGCTCAGCCCTACGGAGCTGACCGACATGAAAAAACAAATCGAGTATCTCCTAGCCAAAGGACTCATCCGACCATCCACTTCGCCGTACGGTGCCCCAGTACTCTTCACACCGAAACCAGACGGAAGCCTGCGCATATGCATCGACTACCGAGCTCTTAACAAGCAGACCATCAAGAATAAATATCCGATACCGCGAATCGATGACCTGCTTGACCAGCTTCGGGGAGCTACGGTATTTTCCAAACTGGATCTGCGGTCCGGATACTGGCAGATACGGATGGCGGACAACTCTATCCACAAAACTGCTTTTCGAACTCGGTACGGATCGTACGAGTATTTGGTAATGCCGTTCGGACTCACCAACGCGCTGGCAACGTTCCAAGCCGAAATGAACCACATTCTACGACCACTTTTGGACGAGTGCGTGGTGGTGTACCTGGACGACATACTCATCTACTCGCGCGACATGAAGCAGCACTTCGAACACCTGCGACGCGTCTTCGAAATTCTTCGACGAGAACGATTCTACATCAAACTGTCCAAGAGCGAATTCGCCCTTGAAAAGGTCCAGTTCCTAGGACACATGGTGAGCGCTCAAGGAGTTCACGTCGACCCCAAGAAAATCGAGGTCGTACGCACGTGGAAGACACCCGAGAACGTGAAGGAGTTGTAGCAGTTCCTAGGCTTCGCTAATTACTACAACAGGTTCGTGCCATAGTATGCGAAAATCGCAGCACCACTCACGAATCTGCTGAAGAAGAACACGCCCTACAAATGGGAGCCGAAGCACCAGGAAGCCGTGGAGCAACTGAAGCAAGCACTTACGTCCGCACCAGTACTCATTTTGCCAGATTCCGAACGCGAGAACGTCATCGAAGCTGACGCCAGTGACCAAGCAGTGGGAGCAGTCTTGATGCAAGATCAAGGGAATGGACTGCAACCAATCGCTTACCTAAGTAAGAAACTACACGGGGCAAAACTAAACTACCCGATACACGACAAAGAGGCCCTAGCTATCATCATCGCCTTCAAAGCGTGGAGATGCTATCTCGAAGGACGAAGAACAACCGTCTACACCGACCACTGCAGCCTGAAATACTTGAAGACACAACCCAACCTTTCCAGGCGGCAGGTCCGGTGGATCGACTTCCTCGAGACACACTTCCACTACGACATCGTGTACAAGCCCGGTCACAAGAACAAAGCAGACGCTCTTAGCCAGCCTGCACACGTTGCCGCTATTCAGGTCGAAGGGATGAATCCACTACTCAAGGGACTCTTCACACACGGGTACGCCACCGACCCCGAAATTCCCTTGGCAGAAAAGCGACATCTGCTACAGTGGGAGAGTGACATCGCGTACCGGATAGGATCAACGAAAATCTGGGTACCCAATTACCCTCCTTTGCACCAGTTACTACTCGAAGAATACCACGACGTCCTCTACGCCGGACACTTCGGTAGCAACAAGACGCTGACCGGTATCGCAAAGCACTACTACTGGCCCCACTTAGCAGAAGATGTTCAGAAATTCGTCACCTCGTGTGATACATGTCAGCGGATGAAGAGTAGCAAGGAGAAAAAGGCAGGACTACTGCAGCCTCTTCCTGTCCCAGAACAACCATGGCAAGTGGTTAGCCTGGACTTCATCACCGGGTTACCACCTACCTCCAGCGCTCATGACGCCATCCTTGTCGTCATTGACAAGTTCTCCAAAATGGGACACTTCATCCCGACACACATGACGGCACGCACCGAAGAAACAGCACAACTCTTCGTTCGATACATCATCGCACAGCATGGCATTCCAACCACACTTATCTCCGACCGAGACCCTAAGTTCACCAACAAGTTCTGGAAGGAACTTATGTCTCTCCTCAGGACCAAACTCGCCATGTCATCTGCTTACCATCCGCAGACAGACGGACAGACCAAGCGCCTCAACCAAATTGTTGAGCAACTCCTCTGAGCAGCCTGCAAGGACGAGATCTCCAAATGGGACTTGCACCTGCCCGTACTAGAGTTTGCTTACAACAATGCTACACATGCCGCTACTGGACAGACGCCGTTCTTCCTCTGCTACGGACGCCACCCACGCACACCACAAAAACCGACAGCATCAGCTACAGTCCAACCAGCACGTGATTTCATCACAACCATGCATCAGCTTTGGGATTGGACCCACAAGCGCCTACTCGACATTCAACAGCACCAGAAGCGCCAAGCCGATCGCCATCGCAACGATCACACCATCACGGTGGGAGACCAGGTACTCCTTGACACCCGCAACCTGGACATCAGCCATCTCCCATCTAATCTTCGACCTCGCTTCTGCGGGCCTTTCCTCGTTGAAGCACAGGTCACTCCTGTTACCTTCCGCTTACGCCTGCCAGGTACCTTGAAGATTCACAACGCCTTCCACGTCCAACTTCTGAAGCCCTATCGGGACCCGAACACGATTTTCGTCGGACGCCAACCGCCGCCACCACCGCCCGTCCTCGTCCAGAATGAACCCGAGTACGAGGTCGAGTCCGTGCTCGCACACCGCCGTCGTCGGAATGGCACCGTGGAGCTTCTCATCCGTTGGAAGGGTTATGATCCTTCTGAGGACAGCTGGGTACCTGAGTCCGACATGGGTAACGCCCGTCGTCCTCTGCATGACTACCTTGTCAAGCAGGGTGTTACTTCTACCACCCAGCTTTGAGGGGGGGAAGTGTGAGAGTACGACCCCGTTACACCACTTGGCCTTTTCTTATTTCCTTCCTTTTTCATTTCTCTTTTGTTCCATCTCATTTGGTTTCCTATTCTTCCTTTTCCATTAACCTTTGGTTTATCGTGCTATTATAATTATATCACCGACCAGGCTTGGGATGTACTGGTGCGCTCTATCTAGCGTAATCCTGCTGTAATCCCTTAAAGCCAATAGCCTCGTGTGGCTATACGCAGGGTGATTCTATCTTCTAGAAGGGTCTATTCCCCTAGGATAAGATAAACCTGGTTACCTGATGTACTCTGGAAGTATAAAAGCGTCTTGTACTGATCGATAGTGCAATCTTACCTCGACACATTCGATCATGTGACACTGGGCCCCAGATGTCCATGTGCAGGGTCTGCAGCGGTGCGGAGGTACGGGGGAACGAGGAGGAGTGAGGGGCACGGCGGAGACGGCCCTCGATACAGGGCGTGCACGGAGGCGCGGGTGAGGAGGGGAGCGCAAGGAACGACTCAGGGAGGCCTAGGACAAGACAGTGCTGGGACATGTGACGGAGACGGGTAAGGGCCGGCTGACCTAGACGGTGGTGCCACAGAAGTGACGGGTGAGTAAGCGACCGGCACGAGCACGCCGTAGCAACCTGGGAAGACGCAGGTACCTGGGGAGGCGTCCCAACCGAGGGGGAAGCGGCGTCCATCGTGAACAGGCCAGACACTGGGTCCCGGGGGAACGTGGTGAGGCGGGCACCAGTGGCGGCCTCAGTACAGACAGCGTGCCACTCGTGCCCAGGGAACATAGTGGTGACGCCAAGGTCTTGGAGGCAGACGACACCAACTAGGTTCCTAGAGAATGAGGGGATGTGCAGGCCTGTAAGGGAGCTTGAGGGAACCGCCGGACAAGGGAGAGTAGTGGAGCTACGTGCAACTACATGATTGGAGGAAGGGTCTGCAAGAGCAACTGCAGCAGGAGCGGCAAGCGGCGTAAGCATCGTGGAGTCGCGAAAGAAACACCGGGAAGCGCCGGAGTCCAGGGTGAAGGAGAGCGCGGCAGCGGCGACAGAGGTCGGAGGAGTGAGGGAGGACCCTACGCCTGACGCAGCAGGGGAGCCTGAACTAGGCACACTGGGCATACCTACGCTAGGCAACATTGGGTAATAGGAACCAGTCACATTGGGTACTCCCTAAGGCACAACCCTATATAATCTACAAAAACATACTATATATGTTTGACACATAGGACATGTCTTGGAAAACCCATGTGCCATGTTCTCGAATGTCACAAAATGTGTATAGGCGTAAACACTCAAGGTCATCTCTCATGAGCTCCAAGTGCTGAGCTAAGGGCGTGTCCAAAGCGTACGTGCTTGCTCAATACCCTACCCAACCACTTCAGATTGATTTTTCATCCTTCAGACCCGGAAAGCACCTCACCCAACCCCAATCTGACATACGCTTGGGACACGCCCTAAGGCTTCAAACGTTTGCAACAGCCAGTTCTCGAGCAGAGCAACGACTTGTACATGTGTTCTTTTGGACCTCAGCACCCACTCCCAAAAGGCCCGCAGCCACAGGAGAAGTCTGTCACGGTGTGCTCCCTGCAAATAAAAAAGCACAGTACGGTAGGAACAAAAAAAAACAATGTGAGAAACATCGCAGGCCCAGAGCGTTATTCTTCCATACAGGATGAAGTGGGTGGCATTGCACCAGTGCAGGGTCCTTGGAACGAGGCAGCTATAACAAGCAAGATGCTTCATTGACGCTTGTTGGAAGAACAAGAAAGCGCATTCAGCATTATGATCTGTGCTTATTCTGCTGTGAGGCACGTACGCGTTGCCGCGCATGACAACAGAAGAGTCAATGAGTGGACTCAACGAGTGTAAAGCAATGGCAGCGAGGGGGGCATTAGGAGGCACGTACGCATTGCTGTGCATGGCAACAGAAGAGTCGGGGCCGTAAGCAAACACGATGTTGGCGCCCCCGCTGTTGCGCACCTTCACTGACGCGCCGTCGTCAGGCGAGCGGGTGAACCTGAAAGGGTAAAGGGCAAGACACGTGAGGAGAGTGGAAGATTGAGTCAAGGGGAAGGGAGGGGGCGAGGGGATTGTGTGGGGAGGGAGGAGAGGGAGGGGATGGGGGGTTAGGGAGGTGCGAAGATTGGGCAAGGCACGTCGACATTACACAAGCTGAACCGAACCGAAACTAGACAAGGACCAAGGTTTAGGACAAGCGGGGGGGGGGAAAGCGGTGTGGATGCGGTGATAAGGGGAGCGGAAAGAGCACGGGATGTGTGCAGCGAATGCGGTATGCAAAATGGGAGGACAGCAGTCGAGAGGAGGGGGAGGGAGGAGGGTGAGAGAGGAGGGTGAGAGAGGAGGGAGAGAGAGGAGGGTGAGGGAGGAGGGTGAGGGAGGAGGGTGAGGGAGGAGGGTGAGGGAGGAGGGAGAGGGAGGAGGGTGAGGGAGGAGGGAGAGGGAGGAGGGTGAGGGAGGAGGGAGAGGGAGGAGGGAGAGGGAGGAGGGAGGGAGGAGGGAGAGGGAGGAGGGAGAGGGAGGAGGGAGGAGGGAGGAGGGAGAGGGAGGAGGGTGAGAGAGGGAGACAAACTCACGTGATCAATCTTCCGCCCTTGTTGCCGGTGGTAACGGTGAGCGACCCGGGCGTCCATGACGTCGCAGCGACGGCCGCGGATTGCCCCACCAAATCGTACGGCGCAGCGGCGTCCGCCCCGCTCTCGTACGCGACCACGTTGCTTCCGCCCATGTCGCCGCTTGGTGACCACCCGACCGCAAACCACCCGGCCTTGTAGGCCGCGGAGCCCTTGCGCGCCTGGATCGCAAAGCTGATGGTTTTGCCCTTGGTGGCCTTCCAGTGGAGCACGAGCCTGTAAGGGGGATGGGGGAGGGGGCGACGGATGCAGAGTGGCGGGGATATGAATAACGGAAGGAAGTTATGCGGATGGAGGAATCGCGGAAAAGAGAGGTGACGTCACAAATTGAACGGAGTCGAAATACGGAGTAGGTCGCGACGGTGGCGAGACAGACTCGATTGCGAAACGACGTCGCAGAAAAGGCTTTCCACAATAACGTTTTCGAACAGAGTCTGACACTCAACATATTTTGTCGTTTGCATTATCGCGTACCCGTATTGGAGCTTGAGCATGGAGCTGTAACCCTTCAGCCCGGACTTAAAGCACATGTAACGGCCGAACGGCAGAAAAAACAAACTGCGCCGCCAACCCGACGATCGCTCCGGGACGGTTAGCGTGCCGTTGGGAGTTATCCGCGACGCGTTCGCCGCGAGAGGCGTGAAGGCCAGGAGAAGGCCGACGAGGACGAGGCCGGATAGCGCAACGATAGACGCGGCTTGTCTCGTCATGATGGCGCTCAGTCGCGGCGTCTCTCGAGTCAGTGGGGTGATGAAGATTTGCGAGCGAGTCTGTGTGTGAATGGGCGGAGGGCGGAGAATGGCGATATCGGGGGTCGTTTGAAGTGTGTAAAGTGGATGATGGACAGTCTACTATCTGCCACGAAACGGTTGTGTGGATGTCGGATTATGTCGCGAGGACGATGGAGAGAACGAGGCGCCGCACGGACCGAAGACGCTACCAGGTCAAGAGGATGGAGTGAAGTACGGTAGTACGGCCGCGTTTGTGCTAACAAGGCGTGCTGCTGTGTTTATGAAAGCCGGTTGGCGAGAGCGGAATTTATTTCAGGATGAGGAGAAACTGAACGCGCAACACTCATCCACGCGGCTGCTGCTGCTGCCGCTGCTGCGCCTTGTTTTCGTGGCAATTCCCTCACTCACACACCTGTGACACACGCCGCAATTTCCCTGAGACACGCGCCGCGCACCAATTCCGTCGCAAGGAAGGTGAACCGTGGAGCAAATGTCAGGCTGGCGTCGCGTGAGAAGTGATTGCTGGTGGAACCCGAACCAGGTGGCGAAAGCGTCTGGAGTCTGGACGACGTTATGCGACTGATGGTGGACACACGCCGCGCCTGCCATAGGCTACCGTTGCCGCGAAGACTCGCACAATTCGCTGATTTGGTCCCATCCCTCCCAAGCATTTCGACAACGAGGAAATTTCCGTGGCTCCCCGCTGACGCCAGCTGGAATTTGGCATTTTCCTCCACGCAGTGCAAATGTGGGCACAATCGCCTGCCCCTTCTGGGACGAACGTGTCTTGTGAAAATTGTTGACCAGTCATGGTTCGAAACCTGGTTCGAGACTTCGAGCCCTGGTTCGTGCGCTTTACAAACCACCACTTTGGCTTCGTAAAGTCGGAGCTGGCAGGCTCGGAGTCGGTTCGGAGGGCCCAGCCGAGACGCATGAGGCGCACCAGTTGAGGAGGGTCAGTCGAGGAGGCCACGTGGTGATGAGACGCCATATGTGATTGGCAAGGCGAGTCGCTGAAAGCTTGTGGCTGCGGTGCTGCTAGCTCATAGCTGGGCTGTGAGGCTAACACTGATGGGGTTTGCAGCTTCTGTGTGCTGACACTGACGTAACCTACTTATTGACCTCAGCCTAGTTCTTGTGAGCTGCAACCAACCGATGATGCTGTAAGTGTTCCACCGATGGAGCTATGATTGGTTGGTTGCACAACGTAGGGGATACGATTCGTTACAATACAGGAACCCCACTTATCTCATTCTGTACAGAATTGTCTTCACAATAGCGCTAAAGCGAGTTTGCCTTTACGTAACTCCGACTACAGTACTTTTTCGCACCACCACTCACATGCCTACACTTAGGATTGTTGGGATTGAGCAGGCCTTGCTAAAACACGACAGATGGTGACCTAAGTAAAATTACTCCACATCTTTCCCATAACATGCATGTTATACCCCAACAACAATGAAAATCTCGACAGTTTTGGAGTTCCAAGGGATGGCAGCTTTCAAGGTTAAAAGGTGGTCAAGCTGCTGGTCATGCCCTTTCCATCATATTAGGTCCACTGGCTGGAGCCTTGACACTAGGTGAGCGTGGGCTATAGATCGCAACACTGGCCGTGTGGAAACGGGTAGTCAGTGGGGGAAGGTGAAGAACAGGTGGCAGATGACTCGAGGAGCTAAGTAACTCTGGCTCTTTATTGAAGGACGGCGCCCAGAATTTGTATTCCCATAGCTCCTTGGCAGGGAGTGAAGCTGTAAACGGGCCGACCTGGAAGTGGATGTTTTTGCCAGGAGAAGGGTCTATCCTTACGTTGCCAATACCTAACCAAATACGGAAGCGTTTGACTCTTATTCCCTGCATAGACAGAAAGCACAGCATGAGACATGGGCCTGAGGAGTCGTTACTGTCCCGTTCAAGTGTTTGGTACGCACCTTTACATTGCGAATTCCATTCTGATACAATTCGCCTGTGATGACTTTGTCAAATTTGATGTAATGTCCACCGAATTCCGCAGTGGACTCTTTTGCTTCCTGGGTTGCAACGAATCTTCCATCACTGGAGTTGAAGGAGATGTCCGCCAAGCTCTCCATAGGTAATAGGCCATGTGGAAGATTATGTTCCTGCGTGCACAACGGAGGCTGGTGAGATCCCTTCCCTTTCAAAACGACGAAGCATTCTCATGCTGACAGACGATACCTTCAGTATGGCATGAGCAATTTGTAGCGGAGAGCAACGCTCCACTGGTTTGGAGCCTCTGACTACTGAGATTGAGGAGGGAGTTGTTGGGATCGTAAGGTCAAGAGGAGGCATTTCGGAGTGCAACGCCGCGGTCAACCCAGGATGACAAGGAGCTTTCAAGAGAGGGGGTTTTACTGATCAAGCAGGTGCAGGCGGCTACTAAGATGTCGTCAGGAGTCGCCGTTTTAAGGAGCGTGGCCTCCTGAACGTGCCAGGTAACGAACCCTCTCAGTGGCGCATGTCGGACCCCTGAAAGCTGGACTCAATATTCCCTTCCCGGAAAACAGGAACGCCAACTGCGTTAAGCACAAAAGGTACCCATCAGGAGCCCGATTGCCGTTTTGACGCTTCATTTTGACTGGAGGCCTTGTGCACACAGCGGCGTCGAGCCCTCGATTCCACATCTCCTGGGTGGAGTCTTCCGAAGCAGCGCTAGGATTCTCAAGCTGGCCGCTAGTCAACACGCGATAGCGTCTTCTCGATACTGACGTTCCACCAGCACTACAGCTGAATTGACAGCTCGCTGTCGCTTTTGTGGAGTCTGAGTTCGCTTGACCGCTGGGTCTGGGTGCTGTTGTGCTGGTGTGCTCGCAGCACTGAATAAAGCCTCCCAGCTGTCACATCCTTGAAATCCCCAATCGATAAGTGAGAAGGGAAGGTGCTGGGTTCGGCTCCGATACTGTTTATTGCACAGGAACATATACAATGTTATTTCACTCGAAAGAGCACAGGAATTAGAAAAGCGGCTGCTCTCAGCGAGGATTTACATTTACCAGGCCGTGCGTGTCTATTTCCAGCGTGGCGAAACCTTCTCCGAGATACCTGGAGCACAGCAATGTTGCGGCGTCAGCAGGAGGCGTGGGGTTGGGGCAGCGAATGCCTTTGGGTCATCGAGGATGCTCATTGGCCAATAAACAGCGTGCGAGGCGCAGCCACACAAACTTCAGGCAGGCTGAGTGCACGCGAGGAAGACTTTACTCAACTGGCTTGTCGCACCCGTCGCAAGAGTTTCGCTTCCAGTGCCTTTTCCTTTCTTCCCTGAATCTTGTAACCAGGAAACCTGGTCGGAATTCCCCAGGGACCTGGCTCTGCGAAACAAGCCATTGTGCTCGTCAGGCAGTTGCTGCTGTGATTCCTCAGACTCCTAAAATTCCTGAGATGAACTCCAAATCCGCTGTAGGGGTTATTCTGAACCTAAATCTTTTTCTGAGCCTAGGGATTTCCTAAGCGGAACAGAACCGATTGTTTTGTTCCCAGCTATTCTCAGAGGTGAATACGTCGCTACTGTTTCGTTCGCCTCTCATCAGCTCGCTGCTTCCGCTCTCTGTGGATTAAGTGGAAGGAGTCTTCCTGTCCCGAATCAGGCGTTTTTCAATCCCTTCGCGATCTCCATGGCAGCGCTCCTTCCGGTAACGTGCAAACATTCTCAGCAGTTCGTTCGTCATAGTGTTGAGTTTCCAACAATAGGGTCACGATTTGGAACTCGTTTATAAAATCTTCTCTCCTGTCATTCGTTCCTTTCAGTCCGCATCATGCATCGGCTTCGCTGCGAATCAGCTCAGCGGTCGCAAGCTGGAGTCACTCGCCTTGAATGCGTCGCCCAAGCAGCTGCGACGGCCGGCGACAGTGATGGCGGCTGCGAAGAAGGGTGACGTCGCACGAGTCGGCGTGCTTGGAGCTAGCGGCTACACTGGCGCTGAGGTGAACGTTACTCCCCTGCATTTACAGGATTCTATTTAAAATCATTATCGCATACCAGTAGCTCCGGTTTTGCTCGCCATTTTAAATGGAGGGCCAAATTGTCGCTCTTCTTCCAAACCGTTCCCTTGTCAGTTCATTGCGATCTCACCGCAAGTGCTGCCTCAAGTGCTGCCTAGACTTCGCCGCTTTCTCCTAAAAGCCACCTGGCGCTCATCCCTTATGGCTCAAATGTTATTGAATTGTCATCTGGTGTTGGTGGCTGAAGCTTTCTCTCTGGTACTTGGCTGGCTGCTCCGCTGATCATTTGTTTCTCTCTTTTCCTGTTGCTCTCTTCCCCTGCTCCTCCAGATCGTTCGTCTGCTGGCAGTGCACCCGTCCCTGCAAGTCACCCTCATGACCGCGGATCGCAAGGCCGGGCTGCCGCTCTCCTCCGTCTTCCCTCACCTCATCTCCCAGGTTCTCCAGTGTTGAACCTTAGCCTTCTCCGTCTCCCATGTACAGCACTCCTGAAAATTTGTTGACTGGTTGAGATGAATTCCTATCGCTTTCAAGAGATTAGCGAGGTTGGAGAGAGTACACTGCACTGTCTTCACGAAGATTCTCATGTTTGGTGAGGGAAATTCCACAGTGCGTTTTAGTGTCCGCCCTTTTATTGATAAAGAATGAACTGGTTTCCACCAGAGCATCGTTCTGAGTAGTTTGCCTCCTACTCCAACTTCCCCTTCTCCTTCCCCCTCCCCTCCCCCCCCCGCCTCCCCTCCCTATCTACTTCCTTTCCCTTCGCGTCCCCCAGGTCGATCTCCCCAACATGGTGGCCGTGGCTGATGCAGATTTCTCACAGGTTGATGCGGTCTTCTGCTGCCTGCCCCATGGCACCACCCAGGTGAGTCTCTGGTGTACCTCAGCCGTGACAGGAGACTTATAGATTAGAGCCATCAAGGGTCGTTCTCCCAGGTGGACGCGCTCTTCTGCTGCCTTCCCCACGGCACCACCCAGGTTTGTATCAGGTGGCAGCCCAGCTACGTCTCAGGTGGCCGCTCGGGTGCGTCTCAGGTCTACCTCAGGTGAGCAAACGAAGAATGGAATTCATGTGAGGCGAGATCATCCTTATGGCAGAATAGTGAGAAGAGAAGAATCTCGCCGACCAAACAAGCCTTCCTCTTGCCAACCACGCTCCCGCCTTCTTGCTTTTTTGAAAATCTTCAAAAATATTTTGCGAACCACGCTCCCACCCTGTCTTCTTCTGGCTGTGCTTTCAGGAAATCATTGCTGCATTGCCCGGGCACCTGAAGATTGTGGACCTGTCCGCAGTAAGTGATGCTCCTGGCCAGGGCACCTCATGATGATCCGTCAGCAATATGATACAGCTGAATCTAGTCCCATACAAGCCTGTTTCACCACCTCTGGGTGCAAACTGCGAAATCCGTTAGGAAACCTAAGCACCAGAGTGCTCCCCTTTGCTATGTATGATGACACCTTCTTTCCCCGTTGCCAACCTGCTGCAACTGCTGGTGCCACGTGTCACGTTCTGCAGGATTTCCGGCTGAGGGACGTGAACGAGTATGCGCAGTGGTACGGCGGCGAGCACAGGGCGCCCAAGCTGCAGGTGAGAGGGGCGGGATGTTGAAAGGCCAGACCCCAATGGTAAACCACGCTGATGCTGGACTTGGCTCCACCTGCATCGGCATTCCCCAAGTGCATTATTGACGTCACACACACTGCTCCCACTGGGATCTCCCGTGTTTCTCTCTTTCCAGTTGAGCCGCTTGTCTGGCCCGTATACCTGTTCGCCCTCCTTCTCACTACCCTTCCCATCCAACTCTCTTTGCATCTCTCCTCTCCCCTTCGGGATGTGGGTTCTTGGGTCTGTGTGTGTGTGCGTGTGTGTGTGTGTGTGTGTGTGTGTCCTCACACCAGGAGGAGGCAGTGTACGGCCTCACAGAGATCTACAGAGATGCAGTCAAGGCTGCGCGCCTGGTGAGTCCCTGTTGCGCCGTCCACTGCTGCCTCGACTAGCGTCTTCCAGCTGGGCGATCACCATTGAGCGCATGTCTAAGATTTCTGACTTACCAGCTTTGATCAGCGCTTTTTTGGGCCCCGGCCTGTGTTAAACTGCTACACCCAGCATCCCTCTCCCCCATTTCTCCTGCTGCTGCTTCCTTCGCTACAGGTTGCCAATCCCGGCTGCTACCCCACGTCCATCCAGCTCCCACTCATTCCGCTGCTTCAGGTACGAACCCAGCCCTCCCCACTATCGAGGTGCCTCAAAATTGTCTCAAAAGTCGTTTTGAGGTGGTTCGAAATGGGTGGCCAACACTGGCTGCTATCCTCCCTCCATCCAGCTCCCGCTCATCCCGCTGCTTCAGGTATAGGCTATACCTCGCATCCCTTCCCCCTCATCCCCCTTCTTCTCGCATCATCGCCCCACAACCCCTTGCTTTCCACAACAACACCCCTTGTGCCTCCTCCTAATGCATCTTTTTTTTCTCCCACCCTGTTACAAGACTGAGTATAAGCATTGTTTCCCCGTGAACATTGCAAAGACTTACAACCCCGAGAATCTGTCCCCGAGAATCTGTCCCCGAGGTACTGACATTTGTCTCCCCGAGAATCTGTCTTGGGAGATGTGCGTGGCATCCCCCACTCTCACCTCATCGCCCTCATCCATCTCTCCTGTCTTGCGCTCCTCGGTTTGAGCTGCTGCCACCTCTGGGTACAATGGTCTGTGGCCAAATTTGGGGGTGACTCTGTGCGCTCCACCTCGTTTTCAGTTGTTCTATTACTTTGTTCAACAGGCCAAGCTCATATCCCCTGGTGGCATTATTACTTGATGCCAGCTCGGGAGTGAGTGGGGAAGGGTGGGGTGCCAAGGACTGCTCTGTCTGTCTCTCCACTTCCCTGTGAGTCCTCTCCCCTCCGCCTTCCTCCGTCCAACAGGCCAAGCTCATATCCCCTGACGGCATCATTGTCGACGCCAGGTCGGGAGTGAGTGGAGCAGGCCGTAGTGCCAAGATCTGCTCTGTCTCCCTTTATCCAACAGGCCAGGCTCATTTCGCCTGATGGCATTATTGCTTGAAGCCAGCTCGGGAGTGAGTGGGGCAGGGCAGGGTGTCAAGGTCTTCTCTGTCTGTCTCCCCATATCCCTCTGTGTCGCCCACCCCCTCCCTTCGTCCAACAGGCCAAGCTCATATCGCCTGATGGCATTATTATCGACGCCAAGTCGGGGGTGAGTGGAGCGGGGCGCGGAGCCAAGGAGGCAAACTTGTACACGGAGGTGGCGGAGGGTATTCACCCCTATGGCGTTACCAACCACAGACACGGTATGCGCGAGCAAGAGAAGCACACTCCATGCTACTCACCTGTGGGGCCAAGGAGGCCAATTTGTACACAGAAGTGGCGGAGGGGAGTCACCCGTATGCCGTCACCAGCCACAGACATGGTTACACAAGAGACACACTCCATGCTACTCACATGCAGTGCCACGCCAAGGAGGCCGACCTGTACACCGAAGTGGCAGAGGGTATTCACCCCTATGGCGTCACCAATCACAGACACGGTATGTGCTAGCACGGGAAACACGCTCCATGCTACTCACCTGCGGGGCCAGGGAGGCGAACCTGTACACCGAAGTGGCGGAGGGGAGTCACCAGTATGGCGTCACCAGCCAGACACGGTAACAAAAGAGACAATCCATGCTACTCACATGCGGTGCCAAGCCAAGGATGCAAACCTGTACACCGAAGTGGCGGAGGGGAATCACCCCTGTGGCGTGACCAGCCACAGACATGGTCTGCGCTAGCACCACAGAAAGCATACTCAGGGGCCTCGAAACGCACACAAGTTGACTCATGCACGCTCTCACACACACCCCCTTTTCCCCTTGCGTTGACGCCACAGTGCCAGTTACTGTTGACGCCACAGTGCCAGTTACTGTTGACGCCACAGTGCCAGTTACTGTTGACGCCACAGTGCCAGTTACTGTTGACGCCACAGTGCCAGTTACTGTTGACGCCACAGTGCCAGTGCCTGATATCGATCAGGCACCAGATGGATTCTCCTCCTGTGTCTGCCCATTGTCTCCTGCCCCCCCCGTTTCACCACATCAAACTACAACCCCACTGCTGCCCTTGCAGTGCCTAAGATCGAGCAGGTTTTGACTGAATGTTCCTCTCGTGCCTGCCCCTCGTCTCCTGTCCTTCACTTCCACCTTACCAAACGACAACCCCGCCACTACCCCTGCAGTGCCTGAGATCGAGCAGGGTTTGAGTGAATGTTCCTCCCGTGCCTGCCCCTCGTCTCCTGTCCTTCACTTCCACCTTACCAAACTACAACCCCGCCACTACCCCTGCAGTGCCTGAGATCGAGCAGGGTTTGAGTGAATGTTCCTCCCGTGCCTGCCCCTCGTCTCCTGTCCTTCACTTCCACCTTACCAAACTACAACCCCGCCACTACCCCTGCAGTGCCTGAGATCGAGCAGGGTTTGAGTGAATGTTCCTCCCGTGCCTGCCCCTCGTCTCCTGTCCTTCACTTCCACCTCACCAAACTACAACCCCACCACTACGCCTGCAGTGCCTGAGATCGAGCAGGGTTTGAGTGAATTCGCAGGAGGGGATAAAGTCACCGTCAGCTTCACCCCGCATCTCATGCCCATGGTAAAGACTCGTGCTTATAAAATATGTGACTCATGCCCATGGCAATGTGACTCAAGCCCATGGTAATGGCCGCTCATGGCAACTGTGACAACCCTTACTTACTCTGCATCCTGCTTATCCCATGGTCATACCCCATCCTTACTTGTTGCTATCCCCTTCCCATCCAGCCTGTCTTCAAAATCCTCTATACATTTCCGCCCCTCCTCCTTCTCCCTTCCTCCCTTCTTCCCCCCCCCCCCCCCCCCCCCCCCCCCCGCGCTCTTCCCTCCCAACACCCTCTCCATCTTTCCCTCCCAGTCACGTGGCATGCTGTCTACCATTTACGTCCAGATGACACCTGGTACAACAGTGGACAGCCTGAGAGAACACCTGACCAACAGATACCAGGTGAGTGCGTTCATGTCGCCATCACATGCTGCATGCCTGTTGCTTCCTGGCGCGCACTGGTTTCCCCCCGGTGGATGAGCAGGCATGCACCCGATGACTGTGCATTCCTGCTCATTCATTTCATGGCTGCTGCTGCATGCAACCAAGCATCCCACATCCTGGATTCTGCACGCTCATCCCGAATTTAGAATGTTGATGCATTCATGCTGCCATTCATCGATGCAACTCCTTCCTTCCGTGGTGCGTTGTCCTTGTTTCTCCCCTAACCTTGACCCCTTGATTACTCAAGATGAGGAGTTCGTGATGGTGGTGTTGCCCAAGGGCATTGTGCCGCACACACCAATGCCCCACCCATGAGTTGCATCAACTACCACACATCGCTTACTCTATGCATGTCCCCGTCTTCTCCCCATTCTTCTCGTTCCCAAATCAGGATGAGGAGTTTGTGATGATGCTGCCCAAGGGCATTGTGCCGCACACACCAATGCCCCACCCATGAGTTGCATCAACTACCACACATCGCTTACTCTATACATGTCCCCGTCTTCTCCCCATTCTCTCGTTCCCAAATCAGGATGAGGAGTTTGTGGTGGTGCTGCCCAAGGGCATCGTTCCGCACACACGCCATGTGAGGGGGTCCAACTACTGCCTCGTCAATGTCTTCCCAGACCGCATTCCCGGCCGTGCAATCATTACCTCGGTGGTAAGTGTTGCCAGCTATGTATCCTTATGCCTTGATCAATAACAAGTCGTGGCGTTGCAGGGCGCATTCGCTCATTCGCGCTTCACTTGTATCCAAAGTTGGTGATTCCATGGTACGATCACTAATATATATTTCATGCACACTCTCCCCCCTCTCCCCACCCCTCTCCCCCCTGTAGATTGACAATCTGGTGAAGGGCGCATCGGGCCAGGCCCTTCAGAATCTCAACATCATGCTTGGGCTGCCTGAGACCGAAGGTCTCATGCAACAGCCCATGTTCCCCTGAAAACGTGCAACTTAGATTTGCAATTTAATTGCCATGGATTGGTCTGTATTTCTATCAGCTCTCGAACTTCGTTCATTGATTTGAGAGCAACGAGAATCAATTATTTTGCACATCTGGCCTCCTCCAATTATAGACAAAATCACCCAAATATTGACTGTACGATTGTAGGTTTAACAGGGAACATATACGATATTCCCTCGCTTCAATGCCACTGTTTTAGGGCATTCCGGTATCGGTTTCGCGGGCTCCTCTGCAAGCACCTCAGGGCAGGAACAATCGATAGAGCCTGCTGCAGCAAACAGCAGCCAATCGCTTTCATGGAGGCCTTGAGGTTAGTAGTAGGCACAGAGGGCCCATGGAGGCCTGAAATTCTTTCCGAGTTGTGTGGTAGCCAGTCTTAGTTGCCTAGGCAGTATAGACACCAGCTACGGACGTGGTTGATTTTTGCTGGGAGATAAGCTTACCGTTGGCGCATAGTACGAGAGTCTGGTCTTGGATTGCTCATTCTTGCAACTCCATCTCTTCCTGTACTACGCTTCGTTGTCTGGTCGCAGCTCCGCAATTGCCTGCATTGCCCAATGTCGCTTCTCCAGGAGCACTGACGGCATGACAGCAGGCACGTTCAGATGATCCTTGGATGAGATGTTCAGATAAAAAACTCTGATTATAAAAAGCTCTGATTATAAAAAGCTCTGATTATAAAAGCTCTGATGATAGCTGCGACAAGTCAGTTGCAATTCAAGGGCAGAGAGCGAAGAGATAGCCCAGGAGATTTAGACCAGGAGTTATAACCAGGCATGCCGGACCAGAAGCTTCCTTGAAGCAGCGCTTCTATCTTAGCTGATCCTTCCTTCAACCAGTGTTTCTATCTCGGTTTAGATCTTTCCGCGATCGTTCCGCCAAGATGCCGAAGGAGAGCCCAGCGCCGCACATCGGCTACAAGCCGGCTCCCCGCGTGCTCCTTCCGAAGCCTCGCGACACCGTCGCCATCAACCGCCTCGCGATCCTCCTCATGTGGTTACCCGTTTTCGCCATCCTGCTCGTGATCCTCGGCGGAGCGTCCGAGCGTCTCCCGGTGTGGGACTCCGGCCTGCTGGATGACGTGGACGAGGCGCTGACGCGGCGAGCGCTGAGTCAGCTGGATAAGGATGATGAGCTGGCAGCTGTCGGGAGGACGCGTGACGTGGCTCCTAAAATCGCGTTTCTGTTTCTCGTGCGAGGGCCGCTACCACTTGCTCCCGTGTGGGAGAGATTCTTCAAGGTAGCCTTTACTTGAAGCACTGCCGCGTTCGCCTGTATGGGTTCTTCAAGGTAAGCGTTTACTTAACTGAGTCATTCGATTCCCGAAACTACCACTTACTCACAACAGACCGAGAAGCGGTACTCCCGGTTGGTTCAGCTCGAAGCACGACCGCGTTCGCCTGTATGGGTTCTTCAAGGTAAGCGTCTTAAGCTTTTTCCTGTATGGGTTGCGTTTACTTAACTGAGTCATTCGATCCTCTTCCACTTCTCGGTTCGTTGTGAGTCAGCTCGAAGCACTCCCGCTTGCTCCCATACGGGAGAGATTCTTCAAGGTAGACTTTAAGCGTTACACCCCTTCGAGCCATTCCCACCCCTTCTCTCTCCAATGTGTCATTGTGTCCCTGCAGCTTTTCTCAGGCGCGTGTGGCCATTCCCGCTTTCACTCTTGACGTGCTTCGAGGTGCCACGTGATAGGAGTCTAGTTTTGAGGCGCCTCAAAACCAGCACAACTTGTTCTCTCCTCCTTCCCCCCCTTCCCTTCTCCCCTCCCCCTCCCCCCCCGCCTCCCCAGCCCCCCTGCAACATAACCACCAGGGCCGCTACTCCGTGTACGTGCATGTGTCCACGCGCTATTTCACTCCTGACGTGCTTTGAGCCGCCACTAATCACTCGCTTTATCTCCCCCTCTTCCCCCGCCTGCAACCCAACAGGGCCACCAGGGCCGCTACTCCGTGTACGTGCACGTGTCCACTCCCAATTTCACTCTCGATGACGTGCTTTGAGCCGCCACTAAAACAACTCGCTCTCTCTTTCCGCCCCTCTTCCCCCCCCCCTCCTCCCCCCCCCCCCCCCCCCCCCCCCCCAAAACCCCCCTGCAACCCAACAGGGCCACCAGGGGCGCTACTCCGTGTACGTCCATGTATCCACGCCCAATGTCACTCTCGACGACGTGGTCGATTCACCCAGCTTCAAGGGCACTCAGGTGCCGGGCGTACGTGTGAGTCGTTGTGCGTCGGTGGCACTCGAGCCTTGTATTTGAATTAAACAGTTCGATTCTCCCAGCTTCAAGGGCACTCAGGTGCCGGGTGTGCGTGTGAGAAGTTGTGGCTAAAAGTCGAGACCTTGTATTTGACACAAAAGGTTTGACTCGCCCAGCTTCAAGGGCACCCAGGTGCTTCTGGGAGTCCGTGTGAGTCGATGAGGTCTGATCATTGCCTGTGTTGACTTCTGGTCAACGCAGAGGCTTGTTGACTGGCCCAGCTTCATGGGCAATCAGGTGCCAGGAGTGCCGGTGAGTTGTTGTGACGATTGATTCAAACCTTGTGTTGATCAGTTGACCAACCGTGTTTTTCTCTGTGTAACAATCATTGAGCCCCCCCGCACGTCGGCCCGCCGCCTGTGTACCACTCCGTCCACCCCTGTAACACAGTAGCATGGTAACACGGAAACACGCTGCTCAGCTCAGCCCTGTGAAACCCCTGTCCAGCTGCTGTCGCACAACCCACAGGCCCTTGCACGGATCTCTGGGGGCGGGCCGAATGGGACAATCCTGTCCAAGTGTTGTGATGCAACTGTGAAACTTAATCATTCCCACGCGTCTCGTGCTCAATCCCATGTCCCTCACATCTCGTGGGGAGGGCGGAGTGTGGTTCGATCGGAGCGGCAACTTGCTCTCTCACCCTCCCCCGTTGCGTGTCCCCCAATCCAATGGCCCCCAATCCAACGCCCCCCAATCCAATGCCCCCCAACCCAATGCCCCCCAATCCAATGCCCCCCAATCCAATGCCCCCCAATCCCACGTCCCTCAGATCTCGTGGGGCGGTTTTTGAGGCGCCTCAATACTCAACTTGCTCTCTCACCCTCCCCTGTTGCGTGTCCCCCAATCCAACGCCCCCCAATCCAACGCCCCCCAATCCCACGTCCCTCAGATCTCCTGGGGCGGGCCGAATTTGATTAGAGCGGAACGGCGGCTTCTGGCTGCTGCCATCGCGGATCCGGCTAACCAGCGATTCGTGCTCGTGTCAGACAAGTGAGTGGGTGATGCTGTGAGATGAGAGATGACGTCACATTCACTGCATTTGTCCGCCCTGCATTCACTGTTCATTCCAGGTGTCTCCCCATCTTCAACTTCACCTATGGGTGGGACTACCTCTTTGCCACCAACGTGAGGAGTCTATTTTTGAGGCGCCTCAAAAAAATTGTCCGCCCCGCATTCACTGTTCATTCCAGGTGTCTCCCCATATTCAACTTCACGTATGTGTGGGACTACCTCTTTGCCACCAACGTCAGCTTCATCACAAGGTGACAACCTCCGTTTGTCCATTTTGTGCCTCTCCTTTATAGCCTGAAAGAGGTGATTTTTGAGTCGACTCCAAAATCTCCTCTCCTTTATAGCCTGAACACGTTATATGATATTTCTTAAGTTGTTATTATCACACCTCTTATCCAAGAATCTGTTACCGAGTCATACAGCACGGACTCATTCCCCCTCGCACCTACTGCTCCCCCTTCACCTCCCCCCCACCTGCCCACCATCTCGGTCTAAGCATGTTTCTAAGTCGTGCAGCCACCCCCCACAGTCCCCCTCCCCTCCCTCCGGCTGCCCCTTCCTTGAGTGCAGCATTGAGAGCAGGTGGAGGCGGGTGTTCACTACGCCTCATTGCCCACTCCCCCCCGTCCATCTTCCACCCATCTCTCGCCCTGCAAATCCCCTTCCCCTCTAATCGTTTTGGGAGCCGCTTAGTGCCGCTATGAGAGCGGGTGGCGGTGGGTTCACCATGGCTCCTCTCCCTACCTCCCATTCCCCCTCCTCCCCCCCCACCCCCCGGAAACCCTTTTCCCCCGACCCCTGACCGCTGAGTGCAGCTATGAGAGTGGGTGGAGGTGGGTCTTCACCATGGCTCCTGCGATCAAGAGATATCAGTTCAGAAAGGGGTCGCAGGTGAGCCGAGATTTCTGGTGAGTGCGAATCAGGTTATTTATACAAGGGGAATGCTCAGAGTTCTTGGGAAGGCGCCTGACAGCGGTAGATTTGAGGCGCCTCAAGACGAAAGCGGTAGATTTGAGGCGCCTCAAAACGAAAGCGGTAGAAGTGCAGTTGAAGGGATTCTGGCGAACGCTCTTTGAACGTCAACAGTGGGAAAGGCTCTCAGCGGATTATAGCAGGAGTCACGGAAAAAAAGAGAAAAAGGAAAGTTGAGGGATCTATTGTTGAGGCGCCCTGAAAATGCTCTTTGAATTCCAGCAGTGTGAAGAGAGTCTCTGCTGATTCATATCAGAGTCACAAAAAGAAAGAGATATTACCAAGATGTGTGTTTCCTTATGCCTGCTCTCCCTGCCCGTTCACAGGGCTCCAGCTCCCCTCTTTTTCCCCTTCTTCCCTCGTTTTCATATCTCCCCCTTTCCCAACCCTGTCTGAGTGCAAGCATTTCAATTTCGAGACGTCTCAAAACTAAACTACTTACACTAGGTTCCTCCCTCCTTTTCGTCTCTCTCCCCTTTCCCGTCCCTGTCTGTGTCCCATCCTTCTCTCCCTCCCGTCCTTGTCCTCCCGCTCCAGTGGTTTGCACTAACTCGCACGCATGCAGCAATGATTGTGAGGGACACCAAGTACTACGACCTGTTTGTAGAGACCTTCTCTGAGGTAAGCAGCGGGATGCTCTGTCATGGGCGGATATTCTCATGCGGGATTCCTAATCCATGACCTCTCCCTGAAACTCCTCACCTCCCTCTCTCTCAAACTCCGGATGCCTGATTTCCATGTCGTACCCCACTTGCACACTTTTGAGTCGACTCAAAAGTCATTTCCATGTCGTACCCCAATGGCACACCCCTGGCGTGGCAGATCCCTGACGAGAGCTACATCCAAACAGTTCTTGCGGTATGTTCTGCACCATGAACATCATTGTTGACATGTAACATGCATTTTTGTCCCCCGTACAAACTGATCGATATTTTTTTTGCGAAGTCTATGCTGGAACTGTAGTCTCCAGGCTAGTCTGCTGATGCACCAGTGAGGTTATCAGGAATGTCTGGATAATTTTTTGCTTTCAATTTTTATATTTCTCGGGCAGATTAAAGACCCAGAAAATGTGGACACACGCAGTGTACTGTATGTGCACTGGGGTGGGGCGATATCACGGCACCCGGCTTCGTACACTCCTGAAGAAATCAATCCCGACTTTATCCGGAAAATTCAGGTGAGGATAGCAGCAGCGCCCCACTCCTGTATTGGCAAGCCCTGGCTCCATTGGTGCAGTTTTTGGCCCTAGTCATTGTTGTAGGGTTAATTTATCCTCTTTCCTATTTGCCTGACTTGGTATGGCATGGCAGCAAGACTACATGGTTCCAGCTGAGACCATATACACGTTGACACTCTCCGGGAGCCGGCCGTGCACACTTGCGGGCAAACATACCCATTGCTTCCTATTTGCTCGTAAATTTGAGCTCAACACCATTCCTGCATTCTTGAAGTTAGGCGATGTTGTGGGATATTAGCGTAACATGAGCAATGTTCCTTCTATTTGAACGACCATCTTACTTCCATAATCATTGTAATTGGAATGTATAAGTGGGAAATATTTAGTGCAATAGTTCACGGTATTCAGGAGTGCTTAAGCAGTCACTCTACAGCAACATGAGGTTCCAACAAAAGTGAGGCCACCCGATTTCGTTCCCCATCCCCCCTTCCCGTTGCGCTTCTTCCCCTCCACCCCCCTCCCCCCCCCTTTCCCCGCGCGCTCCTCTCCCGTGCTCCACGCCTTTCCCTGTCAGACGCCTATCATTGCCAGAACAGCCCTAGAAGCTCCACGGTCCGTCTTGAAGCCCTAGAGCAGCTCCTAACCGTTCTCAAGCACTGCTTGAGCTATTACATTCGCAGGTGCGTCGCATGGTGTTTGCGTGCTCCTCGTGGGCCAACGTTTTTTTCGATCTTTCATTTTTCTGACGCTTGACATTCCCTTTCATGTGAAGGCGGTATTCCGGTTGCGATCGCGGACGTGATGGCGGAAGTCGAGGGAAAGCGCGTCATCACTGTAAGAGACTGAGTTTTAAGCACACTTCATCCTTGGCATCTCTCCGTTAGGTTGCCCTTCGCGTTTCGTTGATTTTCACGTTTTATTCATTTCCGTTGCGCAGCTTTTGAACTAGTCCTAGTTTCTTTCCAACGGTCGGCCTTGTGCCGAAAGTATAGTGCTTCATGCGGTCGTATCTTTCCCGTATTGGTCATTCGACGGCGTAATGCATTTTCAGGTGGATGACATTAAGACTGTGCCGATGGATTTCCGCTTCCCCACAGCGAACCAGGCGAAACACTGCTTCACCTGCTACAACGAGTTTTACAAGTAGGACCAAGCTCGCTTCTTGACTTCCCATCTCGCACTAGCTGCACCTTCAGATCCAGCGTGCTGCTTCCTTGGTATATTCATAATTTGAGTTCTTGCTGATGAGCTGTAGTTGTTTTTGTACCTCGCTTCTCCCGTTTTGCGACTCCTATGTTGTGTATTGTCTACCAGGTGCATTGCTGAGAAGGGCGAGGGCGCCTCAGAGTGCCAGAAATATGCCAAGTCCTACCGGACATTGTGCCCTGCTGAGTGGGTACGTTAGTGTCTTTTTCAGTGTAATGAGCCTGAGCTCTATCTTCTGTGTTCTTGTTTTTGCCTCCTATTGTGCCTGAGTGTAAACGTATAATCTGCTCTTGTGATGTGCCTTTTCATGCAGATTGACAAGTGGAACGAGGAGCGTGAGAAGGGAATCTTCGTTGGGCGCTACTAAGGAGTGTTTTGAAAACCTGTCTGCAATCTGTACAACCCTCGCTGCTCATTAGCCATTTTAGTGGTCTAAAATGTCACACCGATATAAAGACGTTATGGCCTGGTTTCTTTCACCAATCTCATAACCATTCATTTGTAGTCATTCCTTATATGGGTGTACTGGTACTAGTCAACTTACTCAGCGTGTACAGCTGTGTCACCCCCCTTCCCATGAGACACGTAAGGGGAAGAATGTTTATCGAGCAAACTTGATCTGCAAGACTGGTCGGTGGTCAGCACAGCTCAGCCCCCGAGCTGCACCTTCCACGTCACAAACCTGGCTGGAAGCCTTCCTTCCCAAGGTCAAGCAAGGCCAACTCTTACAAATATCGAAGCAGTTCTACCATCTAGTATCTCACACGGTACCTTTCCTGCATCCCCCATAGTTCTTGTTGTTTGGCTAGCTTACAAGATGCACGACTTCTGTTTCACCATTCCGTACGGCTCGCTACTCATCTTTGGCGGGCTGATCGGTTTCCTGCGGAAGGGAAGCACACAGTCGCTCATTGGCGGAGTAGCCTCAGGGGCGATTCTCTGTTTCATAGCGGCAATCCAGCTCAAGCTTTTCAAACAGCGAAAGAATTCGTTTGCAGCCATCTTCGCCCAACTTGGTGCGTGCAATGCCACTCGTCCCGTTGATCACTCTTCTTCATCTCGTAGTGACGGCATGTTTGTAACAAGCGTGTCCATCCATCCCTTCATGCCTGTCGGTAACTTGCAGCCATCGCTGGCGCATTGACATACATTCTCGGCGATCGATACGTGAGCACGCAGAAGATCTTTCCAGCTGGAGTCGTTGCGGGCTTGAGGTAGGTTATCGTCCCAAACATGTCCCTGCGTCTCCGAACCTTGTCTGAGTTTCACATGGGTTCGTCGATATCTACATCGTTGTGGCTTGCATGGGTTGGTCAATATCTGCTTCGTAGGGGCCTGCTGGGCAGTCACCCTGTTTATACGCTTTTTGGCTCTGCTCAGTTCCTCTTCCTTAGACTATTGTATTCGCCCCTTCATTGACCATTCGCAGCGGCATCATGGCGCTTTTCTACGCTTTCAAACTCTTGACTGGTGGCAATCACTTCAAAAAGGTGGCCTCTTCCTAGTCAGCTGACCTTGCAAGCGTTGACTTCAAACTAGGGAGCAGCTGCCTGATTACAGGTCGCCATGCTGTATTTACTGATTCTGGAGTTGTTACAGGCCGTCACGTTTGTATCTAGATTGGACCCATGCTCTGCTAGAGAGCTCTCCACAGTAAAACATTTTCATTGCAAACATGGGTAATCACACAAGCAAGCAGCAAGGTGGAGTACACAAAGCCAATTGAAGCACACAATGAAATAACCTCAGAAGGTGGAGCCATTCCAACCAAAATCTGATCTCTGCACAAGACATAGGAGACGCATTAGTGGATGAATAGCTTTCTTCCCTCTAAACAGGGAAATGAACTGCATCCAACTATTGGTGACAAGCATGCAGACAAAGGCACTCTGATAAATGCCCTCTATCCGAGACCTGAATACAGGGATGGCACACAAATAAGAGGACAATACGACATGGAACCTCAACAAACAACGAGGAAGCGGAGCCACGTACCTTCACGTCATAAAACTTTATGTAACACCGGTTGGGTGGAACAGTTAATTTGGTCTCCAGAATCTCAGAAATGGCAGCGCTAAGCTTCTTATTCGTGTCGGGACCCAGCCCACCGATTGAAATAAGCTCGGCGTAGGCTGCAGGAGCTTCCGTCCCAGCAAAGCACATTGGAATCGACGTTTTCACAGAGATCATCACGTACTGCAAGCCAGACACAGTCATGATCAGGCGACGTGTGACCCTCAGAACTCCGAAAACTAAATATCACCAGAATACTTACTGCTTCTGGCTTGCCAATAACTCTGGCCACGACTTTACTCAAATCCTTCAGGACATCGCTGATCACAACATTATCGCCAGGAACGTTCGTCTGGACGTTGAGAGTCGGCATATCGGCCAAGGTGCCGTTTACGGATTGCTCTAATGTATGAAACAGGACGGAGATAAAGCCTGTACAATCAGCTACCAGCTAAAAGGCGAAGCGGGGCTACTATGGGGTAAGGGGGGAACTTACATCAGAGGAATTTATGAGTTGACAGGTAGCATAGCATGTGTACCGCGTGCATGGCGTCCAGTCATCACGGAGGGGGGTACTGTAGGGGGATAGCAGCAGGAAGGGCCTGTGTTGTTTTGTTACCCTACGCGAGCAGCATTTCAGTAGGCGAAGCTTCTCGTCACATTTCGAGGGTTCGCTATTGCTACAGTATAGATGAAGTATGCACTGTACATGAGGAAATGGGAAATTTGAATCAGTAAAGAATCTGGGAACATTTGGTGTATCTGGTTTGGTAGCGAGTGAGGGTCATTCCTAGCCTCTAGTCAAGGTTCTAGTCAAGTCAGCTAGGGCGCGCAGAGCTCTGAACCGCTCTGGAAGTTGGCCACTTGATTAGACAAGCCTGAGACATTTTACCTGAATACTAAACAAGATAGTACGTCTGGAAAGCCATTTAGTATTACCTTCATACTTCACGTCGCGGGAAATGCCTCAATAGTAGTCTAGGCCTTGTTACAACGAAGGCTAGCTTATTCGAGTCTGACTGTTAGAGCTGAAGGATCATTGCTGCATTGCTGCTGATTGGCCGAATAGTATCCACCGCCGGTTCTCACGATCAGCAATGGGATTCGGCCGGCAGCCGGTGGCTGCTGACGTGTACCCGGCATCGCCGCTCGGCAGAAGTATAACGCGAGGCTTTGCCGTGGAGCTCTATTTCGACACGGCCCTCGAGAACCAGATACTCAGGGTGCGAATTTTTCTCCGGCCCATCTCGATCAGACTGATCCTCCGTGATTTGGTCCAACCGCTTCTCGTCTTCTCATGGATCTTTCAGATTGTCGCGCTTCCTGACATTTACTTGTGTTTCTTGAAATTTCGTTCTTGGAAGGCTTTCCTCACCGATTTATCTCTGTACTGGTGTGTCTTCTCTGTGGGTTTCTCCTCGTCTCGCGAAGATCTGGAACGTGCTGGCGAGGCGAAGGCTCGGCAATCACCTTATAGAGATATCTGCCAGGCCGCATGTCAGGTCAGTACGGACATTGGGAATTGCTTAGACTTCCCGTCTCGAGTTTTGAGACGTCTCAAATCTCGATATCTGCCAGGCCGCATGTCAGGTCAGCACGGACACTGGAAATTGCTTAACATTTCTTCTCTCTCATTTCCCTGCCTCTTTCCCCACATTGATCCCATTTCTCTTTTCTGATATCTCTACATTCTCCATGTGGCCTCAAGCCCTCTAGTCTTGTAGTAACAGCCTTTTCCCTCCCCTTCTCTTCTGTCCCTTGCCTCTCCCCTTGTCTACATCTCCCCCTCCCTTCCTTTTCCTTTCCATCCCCTCTCTTGTCACACTCTGCATACCCCTTCCGATCTGGAACCTTCTAAGCTCGGCACAATTCTCTTCTTTCCTCTCCCTTCCTTTTTTTCCCTCTCCCGCCTCTCTCTACACACCCCATCTGACCTCGAAACCTCTAAGCTCCCAGCAGCCATTAAAAGTAATCCATCCCTTCCGGTCTCCTCCCTTTTTCTCCCCCTTTTTCTCCCCCCTTTTCTCCCCCCTTTTCTCCCCCAGTCTCTCCCTGCACACCCCAACCGATCTGGAACCCTCTAAGCTCCGCACCGCCATCGAGAATTTCGCCCAGCAGCAGCACCCCATCCCAGTCGCCCTTGCTGCAGTCGGAAGCTTCCCAGCAGCTTCCGTGCCTCGACCCCTCTCCTCTCCCACCGCAGTCAACAGCACCAACCATGCTTCGATAGGGAATAGCTCAGTAACGAGTACAGATGGGGGGAGCAGCAGCAGCAGCAGCCCAGGTGCACGTGGTTGCAGTGGTTCTGCTGGTGGTGGTGGTAGCGGCGGTGTTTCAAGCCCCGATTCTCGCCTTAGGGGAAGTAGTGCTGCTCTTTCTAGCAGCAACACTAACACCAGCAGCAGTCAACCTGGCGATTCAGTTCGTGGCAGCAGTTTGAGCAATGCTGGGGTTGCTGAGAGGTCAACAGCAGCGAGTGCATTGTTTCTAACGCCCGTGCCTTCTGTGGCGCTGCTCACACTGCACGAACAGCTCCAGGTGAGGCTGTGAACTGACTATCTCACCTCTGAAATGCGAGTGCTCGAAAGCTTCCAGTGCATTGTTTCTAGCGCCAGTCCGTTCTGTGGCGCTGCTCACACTGCACGAGCGACTCCAGGTGTGTGACCACTCACCATCATCCCTTTTTTTGAGGCGCCTCAAAGATAGCCTAAAAAATACTCCAGGTGTGTGACCACCGACCATCATCCCTTTCAGCTATTGCATCCATCAATCTCCTCTAATCCATCACTGCTCTGCACCCCTTTGAACCCCTTTGAACCCCTTTGAACCCCTTTGCACCCCTTTGCACCCCTTTGCACCTCTCAGGAGCTCCTGAAGAGACTAGCCATCCCCTGTGACCCCAACTACCTGCCCGGATCCTGGCTGCCCGTCTGCCCAGTTGCTCAAGAGCTGCCCGAGGAAAAACTTTTCTGCAGTTTCCACACCGTTCGATCCCAGAAGCTGCCCCTTTCAGGGTACCTGTGTGAGATAGGCCTTGTGGAGTTTGTCCCGTCGGCTGCTGGTGCTGACTCACGCCAGCTCAGCGCCAGCAAGGCAGATGGTGGCATGGGTGCGGTGGTGGTTAGTAGTGGTGATGGGGAGAAGGGATGGGGGAGAGAGAGGGGAGGAGGGGTGGTGCAGGGGCATGTGATAGAGCACTATTCCTTCACACTAGGAGGAGACTTCATGTGACGTGAGAGGGGAGGGGGGGGCTCTGCAGCACGCCTTTCTTTCTACTTGACCGCTGCTGCACACCAGGAGGGGTGGTGCACGGGCACGTGATAAAGCACTACTCTACACTAGGAGGAGACTTCTTGTGACGTGAACTGGTACCGTACGAGTGATACTTCACTCCCCCCCGGAACTGTTACGCGTCACTGTAAGTCGGTTCATCAAGAATTCAGCAGTTATCAGGCCCACAGTTCCAACCATTCAAAGAATAAGTATGTGCTGTAGACAGCAGGGTGTGCTAATTATAGTCTGGTTTTAATAAACCTAGTCATGCCAAAGAATATGGTATAAGCAGTAGAGCCCTTAGCAGAAGCAGCGGCATCTGCCTGAACAGGACACTGCCACCAATATGTCTCTGCGCTTCACTCTTTACTATGAATAGCCACCCTTCATGTAGCACCACTTGTCTTCAGTGACAAATCTAGGACAGCGGTGGGCCCCTCGGCAGCTGCACCTGCTGCTAGAGCGGCATGCCATGGGTGCCTAAAGGTTCATACGCTAGCTTGAATGAGATGGTTTCTAAGCCGTCGCACTTGTCTTCAAAGACAAGCCGTGGACAGCTCGGGCCCCTAGGTAGCAGCACCTGCTGGAGCGGCATGCCATGGTTACCTAGCTAGCGGTTCATATGCTAACAGCTTGGATGGGGTGCCTTCTAGGCAGCAGCCGCAGGAGCGGAATGCACTGGAGGGCCCCTCGGCAGCAGCATTTGCCGCAGCAGAATATAGTTGTCAGCGTCGACACCTGCTGATGCTGCTACCTGCAGACACGCATGCACACATAAGCCAAGGGAGTGGCGACATGTTACATAAAGAGAACGGATGATAAAACATTACTAACAGTAACACTCATGCAGCACCCATGCCTTCTTTGCTGGTTGCCTGTATGCTTTGATGGCAGCAGCAGCAGCAGCAGCAGCCTTAGGCACCAGCAGTACCACACGTACCTTGTGTATTTGAGACCGGTGCGTGCTGATTGCAGCAGCAGCAGCAGCGGGCAGACAGTTGACTGCTAGAGCCTCCAGCAGCAGCAGCAGCAGCAGGCGCCAGTGGGGGCGGCGGAGAGAAGGGAGGGGCGAGCGGAAGGCAAACGTGGCTAGCAGACGAGTCTGGGGGGAAATGGAGAAAGGGGGGGGAGGGGTGAAGTGTTGAGTGCAGCGGCAGTAGCAGCAGCCGGGAGACAGCTGACTGCAAGCCCTTCCAGCGGAAGGCAAAGGTGGCCAGCAGTCGATTCTGGGGGAGGAATGGGGAAGGGGGGGAGAAGGAAGAGGGGGATGCGTCTCAACAAGTGACAATGTCATCAGCGGCCTCCATTCTGCAACTCCATCTGCTCCCTCTCTACCCAGGCTATCGCCAAGCGTGCACCGGATGTCAAGAGCAGGAAGACAGTAGCAGCCTCAAACACTCACTGGCGTTTGAGTCGACTCAAAAGCACGCTCTGCTGTCTACCCGGGCTATTGCCAAGCGTGCACCGGATTTCAAGAGCAGGAACACAGTTGCAGCCGGCGAAACACTCACCGGCGTTTGAGTTGACTCAGAAGCACACTCTGCTGTCTACCCTGGCTAGCGCCAAGCGTGCACCGGATTTCAAGAGCAGGAACACAGTACCAGCCAGCGAAACACTCACCAGTGCATGCTCAACAGTGGACAATGGCAGAGGAAGCCCCAAGTCTGCGATTGCTTCTGCCCTCTCCCTCGCCAGACTATCTCCCAGCGTGTGTCGGATCTCAGCTGCTCTAGCAACAGGCAGAGACCCCAGGAGATGCGTGCACTCCTACCACTTAAAACACTCACCAGTGCATGCTCAACAGTGGACAGAGCCAAAGGAAGCCCCAAATCTGACGAGTACTCCCACCACGCGAAGCACTCACCAGTCGCGAGGAGTCTATTTTTTGAGGCGCCTAAAAAATCTGACGGGTACTCCCACCACGCGAAGCACTCACCAGTGCATGCTCAACCGTCGACAGAGCCAGAGGAAGTCCCAAGTCTGCGATTGCTTCTGCTGTTTCCCTCGCCAAACTATCTCCCAGCGTTCGCCGGATCTCAGCAGCCCTAGCAGCGTCTGGCACTGAGCCCAAGAGAGCCGGATACTCCCACCCGTTGGCCTCTATGCTCGACGCCGTGCCGGCTTCTACGGATGATAGTGGTGGTTGTGGTTGTGGCGGGGCCGGGTAGACGAGGCGAAGAGAGTCCGCAGTGACCCACTCTTGCAGGGCCATGAGGAGAGTGCAGTGAAAGGGGAGCTGTGATGGGGAGGGGCGGAGAAGGGGAGGGAAGGGGGGAGAAGGAGAGGGAAGTGGGGAGAAGGGGAGGGAAGTGGGGAGAAGGGGAGGGAAGTGGGGAGAAGGGGAGGGAAGGGAAGACGAACATGGAAGGCACATGAGAAGCAAGCGACAGGAGGGCTGAGTGACCTGCTCTTGCAGTTGCAGGGCCATGAAGAGAGTGTGAAAGGGGAGCTGTGGGGGGAAGGGGGGGGCAGGGGAGAGAACAGACGAACACCTAGGAAGGGTACATGAGAAACTAACAACCAGGACGGAGGCAGCAAGTCTGCTGTGACCCACTTTTGCAGGGCCATAGAGGATCGAGCTGCAGTGCTGCTTTGTGGTAACCAGGTAACGTCCTCTCATACAACCTTTCTTAGTGATGATTCATGCCGGCACCAAGAGGCCTGGAAGAGGTGCCTCCAGCCATCCACATCTGCCCGCTGCTGCTCTTGTGGTAACCACGTAACAGTCTCTCTCACCTGCAGCATGAGGCCTGGGGGACGTGCCTCCAGCCATCTACCCGATGCTGCTATTGTGGTAACCAGGTAACAACATTGCACACCACCCGCTCACCTGCAGCATGAGGCCTGGGGGAGGTGCGTCCAGCCATCCGCATCTACCGGCTGCTGCTGCCTCCGCCCCTCCCTCCAGCCCCACCCCATCCAACCCCACTCCAATCCTGCCAGCCACAATACCACCCCTGTCGCTCCCACTGCTTGTCTCGCTCACAGCCCCGCCCCTCACTGCTCTCCGCTCCTCCCTCCCCTTCCCGGGCGCCTCTTCTCCTCCTGCCCTTTCTGCTCCGCTCTCTCCCTCGCCCCTCTCCCTCCCCACCTCCTCCTGAGCCACGGCCAGCCTATCATCTGGCGCCCACGTCACACCCCTCCCCTCCTCCCTTTGCCTGCCTGCCGCCCTTCCACCCTTCTCCCCGCCTCCGCCCTTCTCCCCGCCTCCGCCTTTCGCCCCGCGCCCAGCTTTCTTCAGAGCTGACCGCAGCCCTGCCTTTCGACCCTCAACTCCTCCTGCTTCTGCTGCTGTCGTTTCATTCGCCCCTGCTCCTGCTCCTGCCGCCTCTCCTCCTGTGTTGTTTTGAGGCGCCTCAAAACTATTCGTCCCTGCTGCTGCTACTGCCGTCTCTCCTCCTGTGAGCTTTGCTGCTTCATGTTTCTCAGAAGCCCCCCCCTCCATCTCCAACCCTCTGCTGCCCCCAGTGTCCTTCCCATCTCTCAACCCCGCCTCCATGCCCACCCACGGCGCAAACAGTTCATCACACACGCCCGTCCCAGCAACCACTTGAGACATTATACTCTGGGCTGTAATGTGCCCCCCTCCCCTCCCCCCTCCTCCTAGCATGCTCTGCTCTCTACTCCGAGCTTCTCCCTTTGCCGCTTCTTGTTGCGGCGCCGCTGGTTCGGAGCCGTGCCGAGGGACGTACCCTTCAATTGCATTGTGTGCAACCGACTCGAAGGCATTAGAAGGGTGCGACCCTTCTACTTTTGCTCTATCCACCCCTGCGTCAGTGGCCCCTGCAGTATTCTCCTTCACGTGTACAGGTAGAGACGAATAGTTGCTAGAGCTGCTGCTGGTGCTGCTGCTGCCGCTGGTCCTGCTGCTGCTGCTGCTGCTGGTGCTGCTGCTGCTGCTGCTGCTGCTGCTGCTGCTGCTGCTGCTGCTGGTGCTGCTCGCACTGGCGTTAATCTCGGTAACCTTCTCACTCCTGGTGCTGGTACTACTTCCCTCCTCTTTCTTCTCCTCTCTCCTCTCCCCCACAATTCCGTTCCCCACCCACTCACCCTCCTCCCCACCCCTCCCCACCCCTGCTGCATCCAACACCCCCTCCAGATCCCCTTTATTGAGCAACTCTCTATGGTCAGGCAGCGACAGAGCTACACTACCACTGGTGCGCATACACACAGCACTGCAAAACCTAAAAATGTCCTTCTTCTTAAAAACCCTCCCCTCCGCTCTAACCAGCTTAAACCCCCCCTTCCCTTCCCCGTACCTCTCCTGTAACACTTGGCTGCAAAGCGGGTTACCACAGCACCCCCCTATCGCTCGTTCCTCCACTATAGTCTCGTACTCGCTTCTGCTGAGCAATCTGCACGCCGCTGCTAGCTGGCTGGCTCTTACGTCGAACGACGTGACTGTAGGCAGCGTGACTGCAGGCGATGTGGCTGTAGATGGTGAAACTGGCGATGGCGTGGCTGTAGGTGGAGTGACTGTATCCTGTGTGACAGTACTGCTGCTGCTGCTGCTGCTGCTGCTTCTAACACCGCCAACATCGAACCCACTAGAGTAGATGTCGCGGATGAGCAGCGCCTGCAGTTTAAACACCGCGGATCGCTGCGCCGCCACAGCGGCGGCGTGCGCCTCCACCTCCGCCCTCGCCGCTCTCATCCGCTCCTCCTTCTCCCGCGCTGCTGCCGCAGCTGCAGGTGAGGACGAGCTAGCCCCTCCGCCTTTCCCTGCTCCCGCCTTCCCCTCCCCTTTCCCCGTGCCATTTCCCCCTGCTTTGCCCCCCGTGGATTTCTTACCTCCTGCTTTGCTCCCCGCCTGAGTCGCTTTCTTCTTCTTCCCCGCGCCATCTGCTGGCGCATCTTTCCCCCCATCCGCAGGCGCGGCTTTCCGCCCATCCAGTGGCGCAGGTATCCCCCCAGGACTTGCGGAAGCGGGCGCGTTACTGCTGCCAGCGGGGACAGAGAAACCGGATGAAGTGTTGCCCACGTCACTGCTGCTAGGGTTACCATCTCCGTTACAAGTTGTGGCTGCTGTGGGTAGGCCGTAGTCTAGAATGGGTAGAAACGACATGGTGGGTCGCGGGATCGAATCCTGACGGATGATATAATTGACTGGAACGAAACGTGCGCTAAACCCGGATTTAAGCACTACACGGATAATCGCTTAGCCCCATGTGGCGGCGGAATTATTCACGACGTCGCAGGCGATCCTGCTCGTCGCACACATGAAGCTGCGAACTTGTGTACGACGATCCTGATTGATGACGGAAGGGCGGCGGGAATTCACGAGCGCTGCAGCTAGCACGGAGTAAATGGGGTAGAGATATAAAGGCGTAGGCGTACGGATCGGCGACTTCAGGCAATGGTCTCATGAGCTCGCAAGGCGACCTCCTTAGGAGTTGCCTTGGAAGTGACGTAAGTTCGAAAGAAGCAAGGTGATATTGAAACAGGAATCGACATAATAAGTGCAGTCGATGTTGGATACGTGTTGTACGCATTTGTATCTGGTTCGTTTCCACAAACGTGTTATAAAGTGCGCTGCCATTTTTCAGAAGGTTGCAAAAAGTATTGCATGGAATAAAACCCACACTCCCCCACCAGCAGGCCTTGGGGGAACCATCCGCGATAGTGTGAGTGGGGAGAGTGAACCTGGTCTCTTGTCTCTAGTCCACGAATACACAGTGGGTGTCTCCCAGGCGTTTGTTTTCGCTCAATACCCTACCTAACCACTTTAGATTTGATATCTGATCCTTCTGACCCGCAAAGCACCTCACCCAACCGCAATCAGAGGTATGCTTAGGAAACACCCTCAACAACAGTGGTGTGTACAACCACAGCACCCCCCCCATACCATCACCTCGCCTGCTTTTATGACTGAGCAACATGCTTCTGATAGGTTTCTCACACTCTGCTTCGTGATCAGGTCGCTCCGTGACGCTAGCTCCTTCGTGTAAGATAAGTTGCGTTATGTTTTGGCGCGGGGTGTGACGCTAGCTCCTCAAAAACTCGATGCTGGCTCCTCAAAACGCTAGCTCCTTCGTGTAAGAAAAGAAGGCGCTTCGAGCCCGCTTAGTGCTGTAGTCACTGCGTGCGTGGAGAAAGAAGCTTATCCTGCTGCGAGCGCGACTCTCTCTCCTCCCGGCCGCGGCTTTCGCTCTTTAGCTCTCACCATCTTTAGTGGCTTTAAATCACCCGCATTATCCGCATTATCCGCGTTATCCGCATTTCCCGTGTTTGCACACGGAGTTAAAAAGGCGCATTTGAGGCCTTCAAGTAGAGCCAATTCGGAATCAGCGGCGAGAATTACGCCAATCCCTAACATTCTCATACAAATGTTCTAATCACATGACTTTCGAGGCCTGAAGCGATCGTGATCAGGTAGCCAAGTAACCGGGTTACCCGGCCGACTCGCTTACTCGCAACGAAGTAGGTGACTTGGCGGGAAACGTTTGACTTGCAACGTAATCTGTTCTCGCCGCCTTCAGATCGCCGCCTTCGAATCGCCACCATGTTGACTCGCTCCCCGCCGATCTCCCCCCGCCTCCGCTCCCCACTCCGCGCCTCCCCTTTCGCCGCATCCCCCGCAGCATCCCCCGCCGCGTCTTCCGCCGGTCACGGCGGGCCGAAAGTAGTGCTGGTCGGCGTGACGCTCCACCAATCAGGGGGGTCCTTCTGGGGGGGCGTGCGCGGGGGCGGAAGCGGAAGAGACGCGGGGGGAGGCGGAGGGGGGAGCGGGGGTGTGACTGTATCAAAGGATGGGCTGGCGCTGGTGGATTTCGCGTTATCGAGGCTGGTTGTATCGGGGGACAGGGTGGTGGCGCTGCTGATACAAACGGGGGGCGAGAGGGAGAGAGGGGAGAAGGGGGAGAGGGAGCGGGGGGAGGAGGAGGCGCGAAGGGTGGTGCAAGCAGCGCTGCAGCCACTGGCGGAAGTAGCTTCCGCCAAGCAGGTGAGGGGAGGAAGGGAGGAGAAAGGGGGGGGGGAGGGGGAGGGGGAAGAGAAGGGGGAGAGGGGAAAGGGGCACGTGGGGCGGGCATTATGGTCATCGGGGCGTTAATGAATCCCTGCCAGCTGACAGTGGGAGTATCAGTGTTCTGGGCGGGAGACGTGCCCCAGGACCCATAGTCTGCTGCATGCAGGGAGATTCGACGCTGGGAGCAGAGCATAGCAGAGCAGAGCAGAGCAGAGCAGGCATTGTGGTACTGGGGAGGCTAGTGACGCGCCTCTTCCTCTCCTCCCAGGAACTCCCCCGTCTCCCCCCCTTTCCCCCAACTATAGGTCGCAGTGGAGGTGTCCGTATGCTCGGCTGGGCGGCAGATGTGCCGCATTGCTTGCTGCAGGGCGCATTGAGCCTGGTGGATGTTTTTATTGGTGGTGCTGGGGGCGCTAGTACCCCCCTCTCCATCTGTAATGAGTCGATTTTTGAGTCGACTAAAAAATCGACTCAAAAGTCGACTAAAAAATCGACTCAAAAATCGACTCAAAAGTCGACCAAAAAATCGACTCAAAAGTCGACTAAAAAATCGACTCAAAAATCGACTCAAAAGTCGACTCAAAAATCGACTCATTACACACGGTTTATCGGTGGTGCTGGGGGCGCTAGTACCCCCCTCTCCATCTTTCCCCCCTCTCCCCCCCTCTCCCACCCACCTCATGTCGCAGTGGAGGTGCCGGTGTGCTGGGCGGCAGACGGGCCCCAGGGCTTGCTGCAGGGGAGATGCATTATAAGCCTTCCCCTTCCACCACTCTCCCCTTCCCCCCCCTCCTCCCTCTCTTCCTCCGAATAGGTCGCAGTGGAGGTGTCGGTGTGCTGGGCGGCAGACGTGCCCCAGGGCTTGCTGGAGGGCGCATTGAGCATGGGAGCCGGCATAGTGGTGGTGGGGGCGGCCAAGAAGGGCGGACTCAGCTTCAAGAGGTGAGAGTGGATGGAGGGGAGAGAGAGGGTTGACTCAGGCACTGCAGCGAGCATTGCCTCTGGGAGCAGGGGTAATGGTGCAGAGAGCAATGCTGTCAGCATGCAGGGCGCACTGGCGCTGGGAGCCGGCATAGTGGTGCTGGGGGCGACCAAGAAGGGCGGACTCAGCTTCAAGAGTTGAGAGTGGAGGCGAGGCGAGTTGAAGGTTGCTCTCAAGAAATGTAGAGAACACTGTCCAGAGGGGAGTGCTTTTGAGTGTTCCCTACATTCAGATAACACTGTCTACATTCCCTACATTTTGAGTGTTCTTCAAAAGAAGCAATGTAGGGAACACTGTCCAGAGGGGAGTCGAGAGCGTAGGGGAGAGAGACGAGTCTCTTGATTTCCCTCTCTGCCAGGTAACTCTTGAAGAGATGTGACTGGTATTCCAGAGCTCTCCCCCCCCCCCCCCCCACCCCCCCTTCCTCCGCCCCCCCCCCACCACCCCCCCCCCCCTCCCCCCCCCCACCCCGCCCTTCCTCCGCCCTAAATCCCAGCTCGCCCAGTGCCCATCAGCTCGCCCAGTGCTTGTCGCCCATCACCAATGTCATGCTGGTCTCCCACAAACACCTCTAATCTGTTTCCTCTCTCTCTTCCCTCCCTCTCTTCCCTCTCTCTCTTCCCTCCCTCTCTTCCCTCTCTCTCTTCCCTCTCTCTCTTCCCTCTCTCTCTTCCCTCTCTCTCTTCCCTCCCTCTCTTCCCTCTCTCTCTTCCCTCTCTCTCTTCCCTCTCTCTCTTCCCTCTCTCTCTTCCCTCCCTCTCTTCCCTCTCTCTCTTCCCTCTCTCTCTTCCCTCTCTCTCTTCCCTCTCTCTCTTCCCTCCTCGTCCCCCCTCTCTCCCCCCTCTCTCCTCCTCGCCCCCAGTTCCTCGTCTGCAGCCACCCCGGACACGGTCTCTCAGCTCGCCCGGCGCCTCCCCTCCACCACCAAGGTCATGCTCATCTCCCACGGCGCCTGCTCCCTCTCCAAATCCGGGGAACTCCCCGCCCCCTCAACGCCCTCCCCTTCCCCCTTCCCCTCCCACGCGGGGCTATCCCCATCCCTCGCTGCCGCATCGCCCGTGTCCCCCTTAGCTGGCTTGTCTACCACCTCTACCGCCTCTGCCTCCCCCCTTCCGCCGGATCCGAGAGTGTGCGAGCCTGCTCGGTGTGGGCCTGAGACTCGGGGGGAGGGTGGGGAGAGAGGGGCGAGGGGGAGTGGGAGTGCTGAGGCGATGGAGGTAGATGGGGGGGGGATGGGTACTGGGGAGGGGAGAGGGGGAGCGGAAGCGGTGGATTCACAAACAGCAGCAAGAGCAGCAGCAGCAGCAGCAGCAGCAGCAGCAGCAGCAGCAGCAGCAGCAGCAGCAGCAGCAGCAGAAGCAGCGCCAGCAGCGCCAGCAGACGGGGGCTGGCAGCAGGAACCCACCGCCCGCCTTTCCTCCTCCAATCCGCACCACCCCTCAGCCGACCCCCTCCCCCCTCCCCCCCCCTCGGAGATCGTCCGCGAGGTGTATGGGAGAGAGGAGTACGGGGAGCAAGAGTTTACTCTTGAACAGATTCTAGAGGCTACGGACGATTTTAACCCCAAGAATGTGCTGGGGGAGGGCGGATCTGGACAGGTGTTTCTAGGGACGATCACCATGGCAGTTCCTGATTTGAGTGGAAGGGGAGGAGGAGGAGGAGGAGGAGGAGGAGGGGGAGAAGGGGTATTGGGTGGGAATGGGTTGGGAAATGGAGGGAGACCGAGTGGGAGGTTGAAAGAAATTCTTGCGGGCAGCAAGCAACAAGTTGCGGTGAAGCGGCTCCGCTGGTGGGGTCCTGCCCTGGCCGAAAAAAAGTGTGCGGTCAACACGAAACAATTTCTTACCGAGCTTCGGGTGGTCCGGAAGGTTCGGCACCCGAACCTGCTGCGCATGCTCGGTGCGTGTGTAACAGCCGGGGAGCTCCTTATGGTTTTTGACTATTTACCCAACGGCGCGCTCGACATGCGGTTACGGGATAACCGGAAGCCGGTGCTGACGTGGCAGCAGCGGCTGGAGATTGCGAGTGGGGCGGCGCGGGGTTTGGCGTTTCTGCATAGTGGTTGCCACCCGCCCATCATTCACCGGGACGTAAAGTCGGGAAACATCTTGTTGGATGAAGACCTAGAACCCGTGGTACGAATTATTATATGTGCTCTGTGGCCTGCTGCCTTCCTCTCTGGTTGCCTGTCCCCTGGATGCCGTACAACTCACTGGTCGCCCATCATTCACCGGGAAGTGAAGTCGGGGAGTATCATGCTGGACGAACACCTAGAACCTGTGGTACGTCCTCTGCTGCCCTCATCTCTCACTGTCTTTTAGCACACAAACCCCCGGCCATCGTTCACCGGGATGTGGAGTTTGGGAATATCCTGCTGGATGAAGACCTAGAACCCGTGGTATGTATGTATGTATGTATGTATGTATGTATGTATGTATGTATGTATGTATGTATGTATGTATGTATGTATGTATGTATGTATGTATGTATGTATGTATGTATGTATGTATGTATGTATGTATGTATGTATGTATGTATGTATGTATGTATGTATGTATGTATGTATGTATGTATGTATGTATGTATGTATGTATGTATGTATGTATGTATGTATGTATGTATGTATGTATGTATGTCCTCGGCTGCCCTGCTTTATTTCCTCTCTCCAGTGCCACATCATTCCGTGACTTACGGGTTGGCTTAACCTGACCTTCTGTCCCCCTCTGGCTCCCTAGCCTTCACTGCAGTCATGCCAAACGTCTGTCAACGTACTATGAAGTCAGGGAATCTTCGGCTGACATCAAGACCTGAAGCATCGGGGAATGTTCGGCTGACGTCCTCTGCCTCAAAAATAGACTCCTCACGCTGGTGGTGCGTCTTCTGATTTCATCCTGCCCTCCCTCCCCCCCCCCTGCCCCCCCCCCCCTTCTTTCTCTCGGTCACACCACCAGGTGTCTGACTTTGGTCTGGCCAAGGTAGCACCAGAGCATTTCACTCAACCAATGACAGTCACTGCCATCATGGGCACTCAGGGGTGAGTTCGTCTTGCATTTGTTTGGTTATTTTCTTCTCTCTCTTTCCTTTTTTTTTTCCTCTTTGGTGTTTGGCATTTATATGGGAGTCTGCGAGGGGTAGGTTTCTCTCTCCCCCATTTGTTTGTAGCTACGTGGCACCAGAGTATGTGCGGACGGGCAAGATCACAGGCCACATCACATCCCCTTCCCTTCCTTCCACCCCTCCGTGCACACTCACTCTCCCCTTCCACCCTTCTCAATGCACTCCCCTCCTGCCTCCAGCTACGTGGCACCAGAGTACGTGCGGACGGGCAAGATCACCATGGCGGTGGACGTGTTTGCATTCGGCGTGGTACTGCTCGAGCTCATAACGGGCCACATCCCTTTCCACCCCTCCAGAACACCCGCGTACCTCTTCGCATGGGTGAGTTGTGTATGTCAAGAGGTTCAGATTAGTCTGGGTTCGTTTTCGGTTAGGGTGTCTGTGTTGGCGCCACCACCACCACCACCACCACCACCACCACCACCACATCCCTTTCCACCCCTCCAGAACGCCCACGTACCTCTTTGCATGGGTGAGTGAGCTCAGGTGCACTTCTGCACGCCTTGTCTTGGTTGAGTCCTGCATGTCAAGCCAAAGGTAACGACCCTCGAGGGGAAATACGACCCTTCTCTCTAACTCTTTTCCTGCTCGCTCCTCTCTCTCCCCCTGTCACCACCAGGCAATCCCAGTGGCAAAGGCAGGGGAGTTCCACCGGTTGGTTGACTACCGTCTCGAGGGGAAGTACGACGCGGCTCAGCTGCAGGCGGTGGTGATGCTGGCGGTGATCTGCCTGGCCACCAACCCCAAGGACCGACCGGCTATGCGCGATGTGAGTGCGCGCATGACTAGGGTTGACCAGTGTTGACTCCCGTTGACTTGGTGTAGAGTGCCCTAAACCCTCAACCTAGAGGCTCAGCTGCAGGCGGTGATGATGCAGGCGGTGATGATGCTGGCGGTGATGATGCAGGCGGTGATCTGCCTGGCCACCCATGCAGGTTGGCAAGTGGCTGACATCACATCACATCACATCACATCACGGGTGCGGCATAATAAGGCCAGTGCTTGATGGAAAATTGCCAGCGTGACAGCTTGGGGCCGAGAACTCTCTAGCACGCTCCCCTCTGTTCTTCATCTCACTGCCATTCCCACCCCACGCATCAGGTGGCCAAGTGGCTGACATCGTGGGTGGGGCACAATAAGGCCAGTGCGTGATGGCAAATGGCCATGCATGAGAGCTTGGGGCCGTCAACTCACTGCTATCCCACCAACCCCGTGCAGGTGGCCAAGTGGCTGACATCGTGGGTGGGGCACAATAAGGCCAGTGCTTGATGGCATCACAAGCAGAAGACACAGTGCTTGCGGTGCCAAAGCCACCCCAAAGCCTGTGCATGCCAGCTTTAGGCCGCGAACTAGCATGAAGCTGTGGCGTATTGTAGGGGTCATAAGCCAAGGGTTGTAAGGCCAGGACAATGTACTGGCAGTGGCATGACCACATGTTTTTCTCCGACATTGTTACAGTACCTATCGGCATAAAGAGGGCCTATACAATGCATATGCCATGATTTGTGATTTGTAATGTAGAAGGCATTTCATGCTGTTCGGAAAATACTGTGCCTGCTGGGGCCATTGGCTTCACACAGTAGAGCATATGATTTAGAAAAAAACATTTATGTTATGGCATATTTACAGTTAATGGATGTACACAAGTTACACACCTACGCTGTATACATTATCAGCGAGCCAAATTTGAGGTGGAAGAGGGCCAATCAAAAGGCCGCCGAAAGCCAGGCTCCAATGAAAGCGAATCCCCCAAAGGGGGCCCCAACACCCATAGCCCTGTTCTCAAATGCTGCTGACAGGTAACAGCTGATCAAGGAGGGGGGGGGGTTGGTAGGGATGGGGAGGGGACAGCTGGTTTTGTGGTTTATGAGGCTTGGGTCATGAGGTCCGGGTCATAGGCTCGGGTCATGAGGCTTGGGCCATGAGGCTTGATTCCTGACGTATAGGTCATGAGGTTTGGATGATCCGGCATGCCAGATGTGGCATGAAATTATGCCACATCTTGTCTTGTGACATGTGAAATCTGGCATGCCACAGGGAAGCCACATGACTGGTTGAACATGGGAACATGGCATGTGGCATGGGCATGCCTGGCATGTGCATGGGAACATGGCATGTGGAATGGGCGTGCCTGGCAGGTGCATGCATGCATGGGAACATGGCACGTGGCATGCGGCATGGGCATGCTTGTCAGGTGCATGGGAACATGGCATGCGGCACGGCCGTGCTTGGCTGCAGCTGATTCTCACCTGCCAGAGAAAGCAACGATCCCAAATGTGAGAAGGCTGCCATACTGCGCATGGGGAAGGAGAGGGGAAAGGGGAAGGGAGAGGGACGAGAGGGGAGTGGGGGAGTGAGTGGGGGAGGGGGTGGGGGGGGAGAGGAGAAGGAAGGAGGAGACACGGCAAGGGATATATTAAATTGAGCTCAAAGAAGCCTGTCCGTAGATTATAGAAAATGCTATTTGAAGGATCTGAAGTGCATTCTGGATTGTATTGAGCGTACAAGGTCGGGTCGCTTGACTAGAGGAGACGCAAGGAGAGCAGTTGAGTGCACGAGGTGGTAGAGATTCCCAGTCCGCCACACCTGGAAGAACATTATAACGCGGACAGGAAGAATACATGCAATCTTGACTAGAGGAAACGCGAGGAGAGCAGCCGAGTGCACTAGGTGGTAGAAATTTCCAGTCCGCCACACCTGGAAAAACATTATAACGCGGACAACGAGGTTAAAAAAAAAAAACAGGGAAAACCAAACAAACAGAACCACAGGACGACCGTCTCAGATGCTAAGATATCGTCTTCTCGGGGGAAAGCGCGGGGGTCACCTCCTTATAGACGGGGTTTTCCGGTTTGAACGCGTGCGCTCCGTACGCGCCTAGACCCACCGCCGCTGCACCTGCGCATGAGGCGGGGGGGGAGAATGGGGGGGAGGGGGAGGGGAGGGGAGGGAACGAGGCAGAAGGAAGGAGCTCACCGCCACGGAGGACGACTATGACCGGCGTCGGACGCGTTCTTTAGGGCGTGTCCAGCGCGTACGTTTTTGGTCGAAACCCTACCCAACCGTTTTAGATTTGTTATCAATCCTTCTGATCCGTGAGGCACCTCACCCAACCGCAATCGAACGTACGCGCTGGACACGCCCTTAGTCAAAAGGAATGCGCACCGGGGTGGAGGACGACTATTAGCGGCGTCGGACGCGGCTCCTTACTGTATCAGCTGTAAGCGAATTTGACCAATCAACGGGCGTTTCGGGCGAGAGAGTTTTACCTGAAACCGCGGCAACTTTGGTCCACGTGGAGGGTGAATAAACTCCAGCCATGGCTGCTCGCTGCTGAAGGGAATCAGGTGGAAGAAGCAGCATGCAAGCTCCTGGTTGGGGGCAAATAGCACATGCGCAACACGGAAAGCTCCGATAACGTTAGTTCTCGCATGCTCCTCAAATTACATATCGTAAAGATCCTTCACAAGGAACCACCGGGTCAGCTTGTTCAAAACCAATGTACTAAACGTGAATAGCAATATAGGCATCATTCAACCAAAATTAATTACTATCATGAGCTCTGGTACGTAAATATTATAATCTGGTGCAAGAAGGTTTTCTCGCAAACGTAAAGGGAACTTGTAAGTTGTATTATTTCGATGTAACTTGTTGTAACTCTCTACAGCAACTTTCAGGCGAAAACGCTTTCTCCCTCGCCTGACGAATCGCAAGCTCAGCTTTGTCTGCACTGTGCTGCGCCAACGTTTTAGGTTCGGCCAAGCCAGCCAGAACTGCCCAATGAAATCCTTGCGTCCTTCCATGCCAGCTGCGGCTTGCTCCCCCTTCAACGGGTGCCCCGCGGACAGGCCACGCAAAACAGCTTGACCGCACATCAAGCGTCACCGATCTTACTTTTCGCCTCGCGCCAAAACCGTACCACAAGTTCCCGTGAGTGCCGAGCCGAGCCACCAAACCTTGAGACCTTCCTTGCTCGAAATTCCAGACCCACGACAAGCTCGCGGCTCGACTGAATGCGGCTCGGAAATTCAAGGTGCGCCTCGGGTCGAGATGGGATGTCGGAGTGACATTTTGCGAGATTGGACATTTTCCATGACAACGGCAGTCTCGCGAGTTTGCAGGGACGGAGGGATGCGCTGTCCGTCAATCACCTTCCTTCCACTGCCCCACCACCACCACCACACCCATCCAGGGCCAGGGAGGTTGCTTGGAGTCTCGGCCCTTTCTGCTGCTGCTTGTTCATTGCCCTTGCTTTCAGCTGCTAGCCCTCACGAAAAGGTTGTGCTGATGGTTCTGCTGCTATTGCACATGTCAGTGTCGGGTCTGAGTTTTGCGCCAAGCGTGTGAGAGGGATGAGCAATAGCTATTGCGCAATCGACTTGGTTATTCCAGAGAGAAGTTTCAGCTCTATGCCCGCGAGTGCGTAGTGTTCTCCGCTAGGCGACACCTCACTTCTCAGAAGCTCAAGGCCGCAGTTCGAGCTGTAGCATCAGTGATTAGTGCGTAACGAGTTGAATCGTCTGCTAAATCCAGATTAAGTCACAGGCGACTAGCCTCGGAAATGCGCGACGCGAGTGAACACTAGACGTCGCGAACCTCGCTAACTAGCTCGTCAGCTATCCACGTTGTCAGCTTAGAGAGCGTAGTCATAAACAGAAACAAAAAGATAGAAAGATGCGAAGGAAGGCTAAATCAACCGGGCGGGATTTAGATCCAGCCATGAGGGCTGCGGTTGTCCTCGCTATAGTGATGAGCGCCGCTTCGTTAGTAGCAGCGACGGACTGGACGGGGATCGCGATGAAGCTGGATCCGAGCAATCAGATCTTATCCACGTGGGACAGCAACTCTGACGCGTGTGCCAACCCGCCATTCAAAGTACGCGCCTACATAAGCTGCATAGGGGTTACCGTCATATTGCCATCGTAGCTCACGGCATCCGCTGGTCTCATGCCTGCAAAGAATGCCGAATTTCTCCTGTGTTCATCTCATTAACAGGCTTACCTAAGTATGTTAGTCCCTTCGTGTTCCTTGGTCAGGGGACTCGTCTTCGACTGAACCATCGCCTCGCAGTGGTTTCGCCTGTTTCCAATTCTATTTCCAATTCTATTTCCGTTACTGTTTTCCGCCTGTCTTCGTTTTCCCAGGGGGTGAAGTGTAACGCGAAGAACGAGGTGGTTGAGATTTCGCTACGCAGCCTCGCGCTGTCCGGCGAAGTGCCGCCCGAAATCGTTCAGATCAACACGCTCACGTGGCTGGACCTCGGCGAAAACTCGCTGCATGGTAACATCCCCGTCGACATCGCCAACCTTCCTTCACTGATGGTGAGTCCTTTCGCGAAGGTATTCGGAACGAAACGCGCCGCCACCTACCAATCTTACCGTCTTAGCTCGCACTGAATGCAACGCCATGGTTGACCCGTGGCTTCCTACGTCATGGCTTCCGTCCTCGAACTATTCGTATGCCAATCAATCTCCACTTACCGAATGTGATTGTGTCGAATGACAGGTCCTGAACCTCTGCTGTAACAACATCGGGGGAGTAATACCGGACCTCGGCCGAATGACGAATCTCCTCGCCGTCGACCTCAGCCACAACATACTCTCCGACACCATCCCCGCGTCTCTCGGCGACTTACCCCAGCTTAAATTCCTCGAGCTGAACAACAACCAGCTCTCGGGCGAGATCCCCGCGACGGTCGGGAATTTAAAGCGCCTTAAGTCTATTTCCCTCGCGCATAACCAGCTACAGGGGCGCGTTCCCGCGGGACTTAACTACCTCCGCGAGAGTAACGCCAAGTATAATTTCTCCGAGAATGGGTATGGCTTCTGCGGGACGGGCTTTAAGGGACTCGATACCTGCCCTGGCGACCCGCCGTACGTCTCTAAGAAATCCCCGCCGCCCAAGGTCAAGCCGCCTGTGAAGCCGGTCGTTAAACCGCCCGTCGTTAAACCTCCCGTCGTTAAATCGCCACCTCCTAAGGTTACCCCGCCGGTGGTCAAGCCCCCGACAAAAACGCCGACTCCATCGCCGACAAAACCGCTCCCCTTGCCGACAAAACCGCTCCCGTCTCCTGCTAAGAGCCCCGACCCTTCAACCTCCGGGCCTTCCGCCTCGCCGAGTTCCCCCGCGCCGACCGTCTCCCCTTCCCCCGCCAAGCCGTCTTCCCCGCCGTCCTCCCCCTCACCTTCCGCCAAGGCTCCGCCCTCTCCGCCGCCCTCGGACGACCCGCAGCCCGTGCAGCCGCTCATTCCGCTCTCCCCGCCCCCCGGTTCCGCCGCCCCCTCCGCTTCCGCACCAGCGGACCTCTCCGGCAGCACCGCGGCAGTGGCGGAGGGCGGAAGCAGCGGCGCAAACAGCAGCGAGGGCGGGAGCAGCGAGGGGAGCAGCGGCGGGAGCAGCGGCGGGATGAGCATGGGGGTATACATTGGGATTGCCGCGGGAGGCGCGCTGCTTGTGATTCTGGCGGCGACAATTATTGGCTACTGCTGCTGGTGGCGCCCCAAGCAATCCCGCGCGGTAAGTGGCAAAGCCGCTCTGTTAGAAAAGTCTTTCGTTGTAGTCGCATTCCTGTGCTTATCCTCTACCCTTTCGCCCTTCCCGTCCCTTCCCCTCCCTTCCTCCCTTCGCCTCCGTTTCTCCTCCTCCCCTCTGCAGCGCGCAGCAGCGTACAATGCCATTCGGAGCAACAAAGACCTCACTCCCCCTCCGTATCGCCCTGCATTGAGTCTCTTCTTCTTTCCCCCGCTTCTCCCGCTCTGCCCTTCCCCTCCTTTCCCCCTGCAGCGCGCAGCAGCGTACAAGACCATACGGAAGAACAAGGAGCTGGCTCCGCCCCCCTCAAGGCTCTGTCCCCCTCACTATCGCTCCCGCCTTTCTTCCGCTCTCCCCGTCCCCTTCCCCTCCGTTTCCCCTCCTTTTTCCATCCTCCCCTCTGCAGCGCGCAGCAGCGTACAAGGCAATACGGAGCAACAAGGACCTCACTCCGCCCCCCGCAAGCAAGTCTAAAAGCAAGACGCGGAGCCCCTCAGCGGGCGGAGAAGCCGGGGGAGGCGCTGGTGGAGCAGCAGCGGCGGTGGCGGGCGCAGCAGCGGGCGCAGCGGCAGGGGCAGCAGTGGCGGGTGCTGGTCGGAGCTCCTCTAAGAAAAAATCGCCTTCTAAGCGTCATTCTCCGTCCAAGCACCACCGTATCGATATCGAGTCTGGCAATAACGGGACGAGTGGGAACCACAATGGTAGTGGTTACCACTCGGGTTACCACGCCGTTGACGTGCCTCCTGTAACGGTCGTGGAGCTCCCTTCCGAGCCTGCCCTGCGCTCAGGTCCGGCGGAATCCGCGGCTGCAGCCTCGGCAGTGAGTGCCACAGGTGCGGCAGCCGGAGCTGCGATCGCAGGTTCGGGAAGCAAGAGCAAGGGCAGGTCCGGCAAGTCCCACTCCCCTTCCCCCAAGAAAGACAGTCCTAGGAGCACTCTTAACGCGGATAAGGAGAGCGTTGGATCGTCGCCACGTGGCGACCAGCACGATCCAACGGGTGCTGGTGGCTCTGCTGCTGTTGGTGCTTTAGGCTCCCGTTCGTTTGGCAGTGGCAGAAGCGGCAGCGATCGAAAGGCAGTCGCTGCTGATGCTGCTGCTGTTGCCGCTGCTTCTGGTTCGAGGAGGAGTCCCCAGACCTCTCCACACAAGGCTCGGCCGGAGAGTCCCCGAGCCAGGAAGCCAGGCTCGGGAGCAGCCGAGCCAGAGGCTGTCCCGGGCCGGGATGGATCGAGACGAGAGAAGACCCCGCCTAAGACGGAGAGAGCCGGGCACCAGCAGAGCAAGAGCCCTGAGACCAGCCCGTCACCTAAGGGGAATAAGGACGGGTCAACCAGGCGGGCCAACAACGACAGTGCCAATGCTGCTGTTGGGAATGGTGCTGCTGCTGCTGCTGCTGCTGGTGGTGGTGCTGGTGCTAGTGGTGGTTCGCTGGCGCATGAAGTGCCTCCGCCTGCCATTCCCCCCTCGGCTCCGCGCAACCGGGACAGCACACCCCCGCGCATGCCCTCCTGGTCCCGCTCCGGTAACCGTAACTCCCCCTCGCCCGGCGGTGGTAACCACCGGTCCTCCTCGCCGAACCGAGGCTACCACGGGACGCCGCCCAAGCCAGCCGAACCTGTGCCGATCCTCCGGGAGGAGGGGATCCCCACAGTGGTGGAAATCCCGGTGGATTCTGATGAGAATCAAATCAAATCTGGAGGATCTAACCGGCCGGTGCTGATCCCTCCTGCCGTCCCAATCCCCCAGCTGAAATCTATGGCTGGGGCTGGGCCTAGGAGGCAAGGGAGAAGGGGAGGGGGAATGGGGGAGGATGACGTGTCACCCGCTCCCCCGCCGAACGCCATGAGGCGGAGTGGGCCCGGGGAAGGGAAGGGGGAGGGGGCAGGTGCTGGCGCGGGTATGGGGGCTGGGACGGCGTCAGTTACCCCCAAGTATGGGGCGGCGGGGAGAGCGCTTAGAGTGGCGGATTTGGAGGAGGCGGGGGGAGAGGGGGAGGGGGAAGATGACGTGGTGGGGGAGCTGAGGAGCAGCAGTCGGAAGTATGGGAGCGGAAGGGGCTCGGGGGGAGCGGGAGGGGGAATGGGCGGAAGAGGGGGGGTGTGGATTCCCCCATCAGGCGGATCAGGAGGGGGAGCTGACGTGGCACCAGAGGCATCAGATGACGTGGCAGGGGATGGGAGCGGCGTTGAGAGGTTCTTCACTGTTGCTGAGCTGTCACTGGCGACCAATGATTTCGGGCGGCAGTCTCAGCGAAATGTTTTGGGCACGGGCAGGGACGGCTCGGTGTACAAGGCTCGGCTGCCCGACGGGACGACAGTGGCAGTGAAGCGACTTACCCAGAGAAAGTGAGTCTACAGGAAGGAAATGCCCCTTCTGTATGCCCTCTGGGCCCTCCGTTCCTTGCCCGTTCACTGGCCCCCTGCCTCTCTCCTTCTGAGCTCGTGTCCAAGAGCTAGTGCCTTACAACCAACCCCTGTACCCATTCTTGACTCCGTGTGTTTCCCCCTCTTAACTACCAACAACCAGCCTGGACCAAACTGCGCGGGAGTTCCGGTTCGAGGTGGAGTCGCTGAGCCACGCCCGGCACCCGAACCTGGTGGCGCTGCTGGGGTGCTGTGCGGAGGAGGAGGAGCGCATGCTCGTGTATGAGTTTGTGCCCAACGGCTCTCTGGAGGCGTGGCTGCACCAGAGCAGCAACATGGAGCCCATCGACTGGCCCATGCGCATGCACATCGCCATCGGCTGCGCTCGAGGGTGAGATACCTTTGCCTCTCTTGCTGTCCACTATTTTTCTTCCGCTGTAATGGGCTTCTCGTCCGTTCCTACTTCGCTGTCACCGGGACGTGAAGGCTGAAGGCCATGGCTGCTCACCAGCACTTAACCTCCCTCTTTCCCTTTGGTTACCCTGTGCTTGCTGCTCCTATGCAGTCTGGCTCACCTGCACGAGGGCCTTGACCTGAAGGTGGTGCACCGGGATGTGAAGGCCTCTAACGTCCTTTTAGACGCCCAGTGGAACCCCAAGCTAGGAGACTTTGCCATTGCCAAGGTCATGGGCCGCGACCAGAGCCACGCCGCCACACGTGTCGTTGGGACCTTCGGGTACGTGCCGTCTCCGTCTCGCCCTCTCCTTGATTGTTGCCCGCCCTTCCAGTGCACCTTTGCACCGTTTCATCCATGGCAGCATTACTGCTTTGCATTGTTCCATTCATGGGTTTGTTTGGGTGCCCCTCAGGTTCACATTTTCTAATGTCTCTTGTTCTGTGTTACAGATACGTGGCTCCAGAGTACATGAACACCGGGCTGCTGACTGAGCGCAGTGACGTCTACAGCTTCGGCGTGCTGCTTCTTGAGGTCATATCCGGAAGAAAGCCGATCGACAATGGAGCTCCTCCAGACGAGGTATTGCATCCCATACTTCCCTTTGTCTCGGTTCTACCTCTGCATATTTGCGCTGTCTTTTTTCTCTTGCTGGGGAGTTCCAACTTTAAGCTGTTTTGGTGTTCTGATTGTGATGCTGCTGCAGATGGATCTGGTGAAGTGGGCGAAGAAGCTGAGCTCTCAGGAGCGGCTGATTGAGATTGTTGACCCCCGGCTGCAAGGCCTGGTGTCTCCCGATGATGCCGAGTACGTGCTCGGCATCGCCATGCGCTGTGTGGAGACCAACGCCCTCAAGCGGCCTCGCATGACCCAGATCGTCCACATGCTGGAGAGTGAAGACCCCAAGCAGGTGAGACTGACCACTGATTGACTCAGGGAGCAGTTATGGCACTTCCAGGGCCTCCAGCAGCAATCGTCTCAAACTGAAACACCTTCCCCCCCTGTTTCATGTGTGATGTCTTCATGCAGAGGGATGACTGGGTGGCTCGAAGACCTAGCCCTGTGAGTGCCAGGTCACTGACAGTCCGAGATCCAAGCCCCAGCTATGCCAATGGCAACATGACTGCACCCGGCCGGTCCGAATCCAGCAGGGCGAGCCCACGACCGCTCTACTCCAACGGCAGGACAGACTCCCTCCGCTCTCTCAGCCCACGTTGCTCCCTTGCTGCATCCAGCCCAGGGGCGCCTGATGTCGGTGCCCTCATTGCCAATGCTGCCATGAGGTCAAGCCCGAGAGCACTGAGCCCACCACCACAACGGCCGAGTCCTGGAGCTCCAAAGGGGGCTTCCCCTAGGTTCATGAGCCCCCGAGCAGCGAGCCCGAGGTATGCTTCTCCCAATGCTGATGCGGCTAATATCATTGCAAGTCATGCGATGAGCATCAATGCGCAACGAAGGCCGGGGTCATGGAGTAGGAGGTAGGTGCCCTTGCTCTTGTAGAGTAGATGCGAGATAAACTGGTTGACCGCTTTTCATCAGCTCTACCTCGTAGCATGGCCTTACAAATGTGACTAACTAATCATCCTCGGGAAAACTACTAGAAGAAAAAGACATAATCCTGAACACCAGTCTTAGTTCTGCCACCTGCTACTTGAACCTCAAATGTAATCCTGATGTACAATTTTCTGGATGATGAACTTCACAAGGAAATCTGGTCCATTGGAATGGAGAGCCTCAATGTCTGCCTTTTTCCCAAAGTCCACAATAGCTTCAAGCTCATCAATGTAAGAGCTGTGCATCTGCATGAATGGTGGATGAGAAAGCGGTAAAGACATAGCTGCTAGGAACACTCGATGATATCCTTACCTGAAGAGCTGCAGTTTGCATGAGACTCTGGGCCAATACCCTGTCCCGATTTGACAGTGGTTGTAGTCCATCGTCAGGAACATACTTGACATCTCCAAATCTCAGTCCAAGCCACTTCACGTCACATGCTGACGACAAAGGAAGCCAAATAAAGCACATTGAATGAGGAAATACATATTTCTCAAGCACAGGGGCATACCATATCGTGGACCCTCAAGACCCATTTGGCCTGATCCAAACTTGTATGTGCATATAATTGACAGCCCTGCTGGATTCCTGCGGACTTATAGGCATACTGAGCATCACAATATAACTTGTGCAACTTGAGTGAAATGCTGATGGTGAACACTCACATATCCACAAACCCAAGGATTGGAATCTTTGGGTAGTGCAGATGTAGACTTCGCAAAAAAGCTCTGCTAAAGGAAAAGCGAGTTAGAGAAACGAGAATACCCTTTATCCCCTGGTTTCCTCCCTTCTTACCTCGTTGCCAGATCAGGGAAACCCTTCGCAGTGATCAGAATGCACGGAATCTCATTGAACAAACGATCCTGAACAAGCCGTTGGAAGACGGTGTCCTGCAGAACACCATTCTAAAGCATCAGACAAAATGAAGTGGGAATCAAACATGCAAAAGAAAGGCTTCAGCACAATGCACACCTTTTCAACTACAATAATGTATCGAGCATCTGTCTTGAACGTCAGTTTCTCAATGTTCCATAAGTTCCCAGTGATTGAAACGCCAGCACTCCCCCGACTGGTGCAGTCGATCCACTGTCCAGTTTCTCCTTCCTGCACCAAAGGCAGTTCGTGAATACCACATGCCGCTCCTCTATCTGCCAAGAATTTTAAATATAACGTACCCTCATAGATAGGCGACCAGCAACTGTACCCTTGCTTGATGCATAAATACCCAAGCTGCATCTGCTGCAGCGAAGGAGGGCCACGGTCTCTGTACACATAATGTTAGAGTATTGCGTCTAATGCTAGCCTGAAACGCAATGGCATGTAGCGTACCTTGAATGGCCTCGTTGCAATCACGTTGCTTCTTGAAGTACTCTTGATTTTCACCAAGCAGACGATAATAGATCTCTCTCTGTGTCGACATTCTGCCATCTTCGAGCAGCTTGTAAACCAGGGCGAGAACTTTCCAAACTGTAATGACAAATTCCAGTCAGGCGTTTCGGTCGAAAACACAGGAATCCTAAGAACGTCTTTGCTGGCCAGAACGCATACCACGAACATAAGGGAGAACCCTTTTTCCGTTCAGTCCCGTCAATGAGCGCTCCTTCAACGTGTGTGCAAGGCCCAGTCTGACATTTTCTTCGTCACCCCCATAAGCTCTAAAGTTTGAAGCGTCACGCCGAATCTGTTGGTGTCCAAGTTCGTAAGAATTGCAATGTTTCGCAAGCGCGAAGGAAGTAGTGGCATACTCACAAGTGACAGGCTCTTTATGCTTGGGCGTTCATGGCTGACGAGACCACGCAGAAACTCCAGGACTAACACTTCGATTCTCCTGCGGACCTGCGTGAAATTTCCCGTCACGAATAGCTTCAATGACCACGACCATTTGTACTAAGCATTCCACTCACCTCCTCAGGAGGCGCGATATCAGCCATCTGGACATCCTCCATGGCCATAATGTAGGATTTTCAAGGCTGGTTTTTGGTGGTGTGGTACGTAATAGTCGACCGGATAGGATACGCTGTCTTTCAGCTCCACCACGCGTGTCGAAACAGGACAGGTAGGTCTTCTTAGGGGGAACAAACGTCAGGACAGCTTGGGAGTGATATCCAGGGATTATCAATGTTGTCACATGCCACCAATGTTCGATATTGAATGAACCGATATGTACCGAATAGCAGTGATCCCAAAGTATTTCTTAGGGCAATTCAATGTCCACCTTATTTCTACTTTGTTACGTCCACATTATATCCACATCAATAGTATTCTGCAAAACGCTCATGAAATTCCCCAATTTCCGGCACGACAACAGTGGCATCTCAATGCGGAACATATTTCTCGCCTGTTTACAGACGTTACAACCAGTAGTTGACCTACATGAGAAGAGACACTTCAAAGGGCTCAATAATATCCCCCGTCCGTCGCATGTCCACATGTTCCACTACCAAGCAGCTCAAAAACTCCCTACCATATCCCCATCCACAAGTGCATTGCATTTCAGTGAATTGTGTTGGGCTGAGAAAAGCCCTTAGGATCTTTTGCAGAGACTAAGTTCCAGCTGTGGAGACTTGAGACTTGGAGTAGTGCAGCGGAAGTTGAGGCAGTTGAACCCTTGTACTAGTATATGAGAACAAGTGATTGATTAAAGAAACAAGCATACAGCAATATATAGAAGATAAGAAAGCAGTTGCAGAGTACAGTTACAGGAACGGTTTATCGAGTCGCATAGCGACTCGATTGCCGCTTCGGTTACCATCCGTGATGCTGTAACGGTCAGTCGCAACCTCCAGTTGCGACCTTTCGGGTCTTTTCGCATTCTTTGTCCGCCCCCTCGTGTAACCTCCGTTGACTCGCGTGCTCCCCTGTAGTCTTCCTCGAGTGTAGTGTTACACTTCAGAAACGCTTAAGTTCTTTGAGATATTTCCAACACTCCCCTTCGTTTCTGGAGTGCTGTCATGTTCGGGTCCGGTGACGTTTGTTTGCCCGGTCAGGAGCATGCAGTAGTCGAATTTTGCTTTCGCCAATTTCTTCGTCAGGTAGTCTGCGGCCATTTCTGTCGTCGGGCAGTAACTGAGTTGAAGTCTCCCCTTCGCGATTTCATCATTGACGAAGAAGTACCGCAGGGCGATGTGCTTGGTTCGGTTGGCGAAGCCGTCCTTGTTTGCGATTTTGATCGCAGATTGGTTGTCGCAGAGGAGTGAGAAGGCGGGCAGGGTCGCAATCTTCGCTTCCTCGAGTAACTCTCGTAGATAGAGTCCTTCCTTGGTCGCAGTACAAAGAGCGATATACTCTGCTTCGGCCGAGGATAGTGCGATTAACTCCTGTTTGCTCGACTGCCAGGAGATAGTTCCGATAGGTTCTAGTCGGTAGATGTAGCCCTTCCTAGACCGTCGATTTTCGCTGTCTCCCGCGTGGTCGGCGTCGACGTATCCGAGTAGTCGTACGGACGGTGTTGTGGCCTTGCTGTAGGTGAGCCCGATCGTCGGCGTGGAGATGAAGTAGAGTAGCGCTCGATTGAGTTCCTCGAGATCTTCCTGTTTCGGCTGCTTCAGATGTGTCGCCAACTGACTCGCACTATAGGACAGGTCGGGTCGGCAGGTTACTGATGCGAATAGTAGGCAGCCGAGCTTCTGTTGATACTCCTGGATTTGTTTCGCGGGGAGTTTTGTAGAGGCGCTGCTGTTGTTCCCGTAGCGGTAGGGAGTTGGGACCGCAGTCGGTGTTAGACCGAATTTCTTCGCGACGGTGCTTGAGTACTTTCCAGCGTGTAGGTAGAACGCCGTGTCGTCTTCGACGACGTTCAGTCCTAGGTACTGCGTAACTTCGTCGGACACCGTGAGAGTTAAATCTTCTTTCAGCTCCCCTTCGAACCAGGTGGCGATGTCGGTAGTGGAGCCGATGTAGAGCAGGTCGTCGACGTAGACGATGAGCAGAACATACTCTCTTCCCTTCTGCAGTCGGTACATCCCTTGGTCATGCGGCAGCTGTAGGAAGCCGATTTTTACGAGACGGCTGTGAAGATGCTGCTGCCAGAGCCGCGGGGCTTGCTTGATCCCGTATAGGGATTTTGTCAGTCGGCATATTTTCGTGGGGTCGTCGATGAATCCGTGGGGTTGTTCGACGAAGATCTCAGCGTCCACAGGTGCGTATAGGAACGCATTCGCGACATCGATTTGGCGTAGTGGTAGTGTTTTTGTGGCCGCGACGGCGAGTAGGATGCGTAATGAGGTGTGACGGGAGACTGGAGCGAAGGTTTCTGTGTAGTCGGTTCCGTATCGTTGATCGAAGCCTCGTACGACCCATCGAGATTTGAATCGTTCGATGGAGCCGTCTGAGTTGGTCTTGATGCGGTACACCCATTTCCCCGAGAGAACGTTCTTCCCGTTGATGCTCGTTGCAGGTACCAGTTTCCATGTTTCTCGGTCTTGCAGAGCTTTTAACTCCTTTTCCATTGCTTCTTTCCATTTTGCCTTATGTTCCCCCCCCAGAGCCTGCGACAAGGTTGAAGGCTCACGCGTAGAAGGCGGCGGCGGATGCTGGACGGAGACCCAGAGGCCTAGAATCTGGAGTCCCGTGGGTGTGTGTCGAGGGGAATTGTCATTCCCGGAATAAGCTGCTTCGTCACCGTCTTCGGGGTCAGGTAAGAAATTGGGGCCGATGCGTTCCGAAATATTCGTGTCGACGGGGTGAGGTGTAGCGTAACCTTGGTCGGCGAAGTGGTAAAAGGTGTCGAGGTTGTTGCTATCGAGGGGATTATCTTCATCTAGTGGAACAGGTACGGAACAGAATGGGAGTGGCCCGGCAGCTTCCGAGGCTCCAGGTACGTCTTCTTCTGCTGCGTCAGCTTCGGCAGCACGATCGGCGAAGGAACGAAGTCCCGAGAGGCCGTCGGTGGTGTCTTGTGTGTTGGCAAGGTTGTCCAGGTAATGCTGCAGAGTCAGTCGTTCGTAGAAGATAACGTCTCGTGATGCCACCGTGTTTTTGTCTTGTATGTCGAGAATTTTCCACGCGTGAAAATGTTTCGCGATGCCGAGGTGGAGTCCCCACCGGGCTCGTTGTGTGAAGCGTCCTGCTCGGGCTGTGTGGGGTCTGTACTGTACCATGCAGCCAAAGACTCCGAGTAATTTTGTGATGCCCCTTTTTCTTGTCCACAACAGGTGCGGTGATGCGTTGTTGGGAAGTGATGACGAGGACAGCAGGTTGTGCAGGTGAACAGCATGTGTCATCGCGTCTGGCCACAGTGTGGTTGGCAGTCGCATCCCCTGAAGCAGTTTTCGCATCGTCGTCTGCAAGGTCCGATTCATGCGTTCTGCTACCCCCTGCTGTTGGTGAGCATAGGGCAGGGACACCAGGCGTCTGATTCCCCTTTCCGCCAGATAGGTCCTGAAGCGTTGTGACTGGTATTCCAGTGCACCGTCTGACTGGAAGCTCTTGAGTTTGAGTCCTGATTCTCGTTCGGCGATGGGGAGCCATGTTGTGAAGGCTTCGAAGGCTTGGTCGCGCGTTTTGAGATTGAAGTGCCAGACATATCTGGTTGCGGCGTCGATGAAAGTGATGACGTAGTTAAAGTCGGCTTCGGCGTCGTCTCGAGGCATGTTTAAAATATCGCTGTAGACTTTTTCCATCGGAGCGTAAGTAGGTGCGCTTGGGTTGTGATGGGATGGAAAAGGTTGATGAGGAAGATCTGCTTCGGGGCATGTGAAGCACCGTGCGCGTGGTCGTCGAAGTTCTTGACCGCTCGTCGTCAGAAGGGCGTTGCGTTCTAACACCTCTGCTTGGATTGTTTGAAGTATTGTGTTGTTTGCAGGGTGTCCGAGGCGTTGGTGCCAGATGTCGTCGGGAGCACAGTGACCGGGCGAGCGGTGGTAGATGTCGGCGTTGGAGAAGAACGCGACGACCGAGGCGGGACTTCGACAAGCTTCTCGTGTGGCGGGCATAAGTTGGTCTGCTTCCGTTGGCGGTCCTCGTGTTGATGGTGGTGGTGCTCGGCTAGGTCCTGCTGCCGATACTGCAGGTGATGGTTTTGTTGGGACACTTGCGGGTACTTGTCTTTCTTGTCGGATAACTGCTAATGCTCGTGTTCTCTCTGCTGCAGGTATGGTGTTGGAGTGCCAGAAGCCGTCACTGTCGAAGTCGGGATCAAGATCCGGCGGGTGAGTCCAGGCGGCGAACGATACGATGCCATCGCTGTCGGCAGTTCCGCGGTCGGGGACGAAGTCCAACACGAAGACACCGGACTTCAGGAGGGCACGACCGATGAAGAGGCCGCCCTTCCCGTGGTAAAGCGGGAACTCGTTGGAGTAGGAGTCGCACTCCAGGTGAATCCCTTTGGCCATTAGTTGGCTTACGCTTAGTAGATTGTATCCCAGGTTGTCGACAATGAGCACTTTGTTGAGCTGCAGTATTACGTTTGTTTCCATGGATTGTAACTGAACCACGCCTTGTCTGTTTGTCTTCAGGTTTTCGTTGTTGGCGACTGTGATGACGACGTCGCGGTTGAGTCGTTTCTCCTGTTGCACGAAGCGTCCCGAGGAGCACATGTGTTGACCGCAGCAGCTGTCCAAGAACCAGGTGTTTCGCCCGGTGGGTTCGGCGTTGGCGACTGCAGCGTATGTCGGGTTGACCTGAAGTCCTTGCGAGCGCGGCGGCGGGAATTCCTCTTCGTCTGGTGCGTAAGTGGGTGGTGAACCGGGTGCGCAGTTGTCGATGTGTACCATGCAGTTGATGATGTTGGGTGTTTGTTGTGCAGATGTTGAAGAGCGCCTTGGAGGACTTGCTTGAGTGGAAGTGACTTGTGGGTCTGCTGCACGGTAAACGCGAGGGCGGTTGCAGTTGACTTTGGAGTGCCCGGAAGTCTGGCAGTTGTGGCAGAACGGCGGTACGATGGTGAGTCCTCGGTTGTCGCGTTGATCTTGCTTGCTGCGTCGGTTGTAGTTGTTGTCATTTCTTCTTTGAGTGTAGAAGACTAACTGCTGTTGCTTCCTTGGTTGTCTTTCCTCGAACAGATCCATCTCCTGTTGTTCAGCGTGAAGCTCGGCGCAGAGGTGCATCTCCGAAATT